AAAATGATACAGCCTAGTAAATTTATGAGTTCTTTGAATTCATGGGTCCTAAGATGTTCACTACCCATGCTCCTCTTAAACTCTTTTTTTTTAATGATTGACAAAGTACACTTGTTAAGTTATATGCTACTTAAACAAATTTAACATATAAATCATGTATATCAAGATATTATTAAATATATTTATGTATACAATTTTTTTTTCTGTTTTATATTTCAATATACCATGATCATTTTTTTTAAACTAATATTTTTTTATTAATGGTTTCATGAGCGTTCAATTAAAAACAAGAACATGGAATTTTCACACATAATTCCAACTATCAATTCAAAATTGAAAATAAGTATTTACTAGGTATTACTTTGTCTTTATTAAGGGAGTGATTCTTTTTAATAATCTTGGAATGATGAGTATTGTGAAGTACAAAATATATTTACCTAGTAGCGCTAAAAAATTTAATACAAGCTTAGTTGCTAATGTCATTAGCTTGTATGCTATTAAAAATATATTTTATATATGTGTCCTTCGATTGCAATATTTTTCATTGTTTATGAATGAAGAAATTTTGAAAAATATGGGAAATTTTAGCTACCACTCTAAAATAATACTAAAATGATGTTCACTAATAAAACATTGAAAAAATTATAAAGAATTAATTTCGAAGATTTTTAACATAAACTGTTTACAGTAAAACTTTGAGGGGTTCTTTTGTTATTCAATTTAATACAATATTATTACTTTACATAAAATGTTTTGAATATAAAGTATGTTTACATAATATTACATCAATCTCTTAGGTAAGTATACTAATATTGCATCAAATATTAACATTTAAATTGATGGTTCAGAACTATCATATTGAAAGGTTTCCTTTTAGCTTGTTAGAATTATTTAACATCAAAGATATTTTCTCAAATTTATAACCTAAATAACATTGAGAATTCAAGTTTCAACTAATGATCTAGACATGAAGTGCATGTAAAATTTATGTTTCATGACAATATCTATTGTGCTTATTTTTCCTTGGTCCAATGTACTAAACAAATAAGAGTTATTTAAAATTTAATTTACGAAGTTACTGAAATGTCATCTCTGTTGTATTTAGTTTACTTTTAGGTTAAGACATCAAAGGCTACTTAAAAATTTAACGCATTAGTATAATTATCGTTTTATTTTATTCTATCTTGATTAAATCGTTTCGTTAAAAACAACCAAAAAATTATTTTTTCAAACATTTTTTTATAATTGTCTCTATTAAATTTAGTTTTTGAGCTTTACAGTTTTAAAGGAAATTAAGCTAAATTTAAAACTTCTAAATCTAAGAATTTAGTTGTTGCAATACATGGAATTCTACAAAAATAATTAGAGAGTTATTGATTGAACATTTTTAATTAATACGTAATTTGGTTGTACTGATCTTACTTAAATTATATTTCGTAAGTCAACAATACAATATATTGTATTATTTATTATATAAATATATTTCGTATACAATCATTGAGTTTGTTTTCCACCAGCCAACTTTAATTTGTAGAATGACCTAGTGCATTGTCTGTAAATTTCTGCACAACGGTTTTCGATTTATTTTTAAAAGTCTCGTGAGGTCATCACCTAGAAAACAAAAGCAATAGACTCAGCTTGACACTAAAGTTTATTAGAAACTAAAATAAGTTGAAACGTCCACTGCACTAAAAAAATGAAACTAACAATTTAATTGGCTACTTATACTGGTAAATAATACAAAAATAGATAATTTTACAATTTTTTTCCAAATAAAATAATGATATACTTTTAAAATGTATCTTTCTTTTTTAATAATGTATACGTATAAATATATTTAATTTTTATTGTTTATTAAAGATTATTTATGAATAAGTACTGCAATAAAAACAAAACTTCATTAAAAAAATGATCGATAATAATTGATTATTTTTACGACACAGTTATTTGATTAAATATTTAATTATAAATCTTAAACATTGGTCTTTTTGATTTCTTCAATTTGTATAATGTATATGACGCCATACACAATTTAAAATTAAAATATGTTATATGAAAAGTGTATAATGACCTATTTTACTAAAGCTGTGATCCATTTCCTACAATCTATTATTAATTATCAATTTTATTTATGAATTATTTATTTATATATGAAAGGTTAAAAATTACAACAACGAAAAACAATTATTATACTAACAACAGCTAAATCAAGCAAACAATGCAAAATTATTTTACATGATATAATAGTATTTGGATGACTAACTTATATATTATTCCGAACAGACAACCGAATTCACACCTCCGGACTCGGTACACCTCATCGGTCATTAGTCCTTCCAATTCAAGGTTCTGTCAATAACCATATTCATTAAAAATCAAAATTAACACTAGCTAAGATTTTTGAGTTAAATATCCAGACTAAAAGTGTACTCTTTTGTTTTGTTCTTAAGTAATACAGATTTTGATACTAAAATAAAGCGAAACATTAAATATTAATTACAATGAAAATTCTAATAAATACTATCCAATTACCAAATTTCAATCTAAAATAATGACCCTTATATTATTTCCATGGAATTACACATTGTCTATATGCATGATTATCTGATGTAATTAATATGTGTTTATTCTTCATACAACCTAGTTATGCAATAGTGGTAATAATCTGGTGGCACATAAACATTGTAGATCCGGTGTGTATAATTGTGCATAATAGGAATTACGAAAACTATAAATTAAAGTACATGTTCATCAGGGGTAATCAATAGCACTTATTGATAACATTTATGATTTATTTTACTGCCAATATTTTAAACAAACTTTCTTTACTTTCTTTTACGTACAATCTTAAAACTGTTTAATAAATTTTGTTGGACAACATACAGATAAGAATTCTTCAACGTTACGCATCCCTCTCGCCTATAACTAAAAATTATATTAACTGAAAAAGTAATTTTACAAAGCTGCCTATCGACATTTTAATTAGACCATTCTTCATTTAGTAGTAAAATAATAATAATAATAGGTTGCCATTTAACTTACGAAAATTAATTTTTTTTAACAAAAAAATGGGGCTATCATTCTTAAACAATCACATTATATATATATATATATATATATATATATATATTATTATGCTTATTATTTTTGATGTTAAATTTATTTTTGATTAAATAAAAAAACAATTATAGTTATTTTATAAAGTACTCGATGAATGTACTTTTAAGGTTTTTTTTCTATAAAAAAATTATTTTCATTATAATCATTTTAGTTTTGATAACTATTGGATTAATTAAAAAAGGTTTATAGACAAAATTATTATTTTGTTTTTATCTGTTTTTAATTTTCAAATTATAGTTTAAAGCAAGTGGTACCTTGATGAATTGGTTTTAAGGATTAAAGTTTATTTACTGTTAATAATAAATTATAAGTACTGTCACATGGGTTAATTTAAGAAAATGCTTAAACTTTGGATAGTTAAATATTTTATAGATTTCATCATTTAAATTTTGTAAATAAATATTTTGTTATTCTTAAAAATACTTGTAGATATTTAACTAGTGCTGTAGATTAATATGACTAAAATGATAATAGATATTTAACTGCCTCAAATTTAACCACTATGTTGGCCTTTTTGACGCTACTTGTGCAGCAATTGGAAATAGACTTCATGTGAGATGACGTAATATACAAAAAATAATTTTAAGAAATAAAAAAATGATCTCGCTGTTAAAATGCATACCATGGGAACGATCTAAATTATATTGCCTCTGACTGAATTCATATTTCAATTGACTTAAGTCAATTTCACTGCTAGTTAATATAAATCATTAAATATAATTACTATATTCAGTATTAGTTATATTATCGAACCCTTTTGTAATTAATATTACATATACATTTAACTGTATAATAAGAGGTATATTTTTTATTTTATGTCAAAAACGATTTATTAATACAATTAACTCAAATATATATATATATATCAGACAACTGTTCTATAATCAAATAATGAAATAAAAAAATATTCTTTCCTCGTTTTATTAAATTCATTTGAATAAAATGAGGTGCGCGTTTTCATTTTAATAATAATTACATTGATGACTTCAGAGATTTTTTAAGATCAAGGACCAGTGATATAAAATCCTATCACAATTTATATTATCACACATTATGAAATCATAAAAAATACGTATGAATATACATCTATTTGTATATATTAAAAAATACAACAGCAATTACTAAATAACATGAATAAAAATGTATTGTGATTTTTTTTACACAACAAATTTATTAACTATTTTGCGTGATAAGATTACTTCATATTATTAACCTCGATTAAAATAATTATTATTTATTATGATTCAATACTAAGATGATATACTTAAATTATAGTTCATATAAGTAGTTTTATAAAATCCTTAAAATAAGGCTTCATTAAAATAATATTGTATATAATAATTATCATGCATTATTTTCGCATTTTTTTAAACCAAATCTACAAATAGTTCACATTTGTTCTTGAAAAACCACGTCAATTGTTAAATAATAGAAAAATTATTAAATACATGATTACGAAAATGAGTTTAGTTGTTTGAAATATATAATACTTTGTACTATACTCGTTATAAATAATGAGTATTAACTGAGTTATCAGATGTGCTTAAAACAACATGATGTTACATATAATTATTTCAATAGATTATACTAATTGAAGATAAATGTTTATAATTGAAAAGCATTTTTACATATAAAAATAATATTTTAAGGTAAATTTACATATAATAAACTTAATTTTACTAACTTTTTTTAGGTCAAAAATCATAATATTTAATATTTGTAATAATAATATTAAGTTATAAAGTTCTTTATCGAATAAATTAAAATAACAATCTTTATGCATTACGACAAGTACTAGAGAAAGAATAATATGACTAAATGTAACCAGAATTGTCTAGACAGTGTTTGTTAAATATTTGTGTCAGGATTTATAGTTTTATTTTACACGGAGATAAAGGACTATTATAATTTTAAATATTCATCTTAGACGAAGGTTATGGGAAACAATTGGCTACATTTACGTGATTTCTCTGAATAAGTACCTATTGATAACTTCAACGTGTCTACCGGCCAGACGCAGTACCGTCGTTAGATTTTAAGAGTCAAAATTCAAAGCATTAAGTTAATAATGAATATATTTGTACATGAATATGTTCAAATTTAATCCAAAATTAATAATTATAGTTCTGTACATTTATAGTTTTTTGTTAAAAAAATAATTTTTAAATAACAATTATGACAGATACAGTATACTTTTCAAAATTTATGTCACCGTAGACTGTGGGCACCTTGAATATTAAACAGGTCCTGTCATTCAAATGCCTGTCAACTTGGCATTACGTAACAATGATATTCACAACGATGTCTAGTAAAAAGTTTAATGTTGTGCTTATAAAGTGTATTTTAAAGTGCGCGAAAACCTAACGGAGGAAACAGTTGATGATTGGTCATTGAAATTTCTGTTGTTTAATGAACAAAACAAAACGAAGCGGCCGAAGGTCTAGTTATGTAATGAAACCATTTAAAAAAATGAACGTTTAATAGTAAATACATGCCGGTTTCACTTTCGCATGTTTGTAAAGCACGCATACATGACTCGTGTCCTCCTTTTTTCCATTTATTTTTCCCGACAAAAAGAAATTTAAATAACTATTATGCGCGTGACCGTCGTCGCGTACCATATGCACCTCTCAGTATCATTGTACGCATTCACGGATGTTCATTATTCTCACAGCATAATATGTAATTGTCATAATATATTCCGCGTGCAAGTTTGATTTTTGTCCGTTTCAAGATCGCGGCAGCCGAGCCTATTGCCGTGGCAACAGCAGCGGTTAATTACTCGTACTACTACTGCACCTGTCACCAAATTGCCACCTCCATGACGTCACCCCTACACCGGCAGACCGAAGCTCGTCTTGACAAGGTCGACTGCGGTCTCCGACGCGACTTCTCTTCGAGTTGCGTTTAAACGACAACCGGCACGCGACAGACGCAGTAATACCTCAGGGTCGTGACTCTGCAAAAGTTATTAGCTGAAAAGTATCTACTTGCCGCGTATGTACTCGCCAGTGTAATTCTATTTTGCGCCCCAGTCGGGAAATTCTTCCCAACTGTAGACGACGAATCCGCCATGAAACCCTTCAGAGGAACATTTGAATTCGTCATCTTGGCCGCGGTTTTGATCATAGCACGTGGTATGTAAACCATTCTTTAAAACGTTTTTTCACCAGTCCACAACCTTACACGCAAATTCGTAACTTTTCCTTCGGCATGACACTGAAATATTTCAATTTAAATAATTTCCTTTTGTTTCCGGCTGTTATTATATGATATCAAAACTTTCTTTCAGTACAACAAAAAACTTCTAAAAAGTAAAAAGTTCTGTTAAGCGCATGTATGTTATTGGTAAGGTTGTTCGCTAGACTACGCCTAATGCATAAATTTGCAATAATTATGAAAGATTTCATACTTATCTACAACTCATCTTTATCTACAACGATACATACAAAATTAACGAGAACATTTTCCTTGAATTAAGAAAAACTATACTTCACAAATTTTAATTTAAGAAGATTTTACAACAAATTTTACATTCACACTTTGTCATACCATTGACTTACATAATCGTTGTTAAGAATTTTAGTCAAAATAATGTCCCCGTCAACATTATAATGCAAATAAAGCAGTTTTAAGTCAACAATAGAGTCCTAATATTATCATTTATTTTCTAAAACGTACAATTCAAACAATTGATTTTTTAACACTTTTTACACTTTCTATTACTTTCGACTTAAAACATAAAAATTTAAATAATTTACCATACAGATTTTGTTTACAAATTCCGAATAAATTTTATAGATTATATAAACCATAACTATTGTGGATATTTATAACACATCTAACATTATTTTATTGGCTATATGTAACTTTTTTGAGTATTTTAAATTAAAATTAATAGCTATAAAACATATTCCCTTCGATCTATTCTGACAACTACCTAACATTTTATCAGTCTATTAGCTTGCAATCGACATCGTATGAAATAACTTAATTAAGTGGCTATTGTTTAATAATCATTGTTACATTCAATTACTAAATCATAGTTATGTCTCGATTGTTCATTACTAATCATTATTTTTCAGTTACATCTTTTCTCGTCTATTTTGCATGTTTATTATCGTCAATTTTAATTATTCGAAATTAGGGTAAAGTAGAAATTCGGACATAGTCTAAAAAAAATAATTTTCCTCTTGAATTCCCATCTTCTTACAGACTTTAAGTATGATTTGATCACTCGTTCAACCATTTTTCTAATGGTATTGATCGTAATTAAAGGTCTCTAAAATGATTGCAATGCGGAAGGCATATTATTTTTTCTTTACAATATCCGAATATTTAATGATTCAGTCGAGATTAGCTCAGGTGTGGATCGTAGATTTACCTTACCTTAGTTTTACAAAATATTTTCAATAAATGTCTTAAACATCAATAATAAAGTTTTATGCAACTATAATCATAATTAACTTTATAATTAATTATAAATAAATGTCAATCCAGCTAAACTAAAAGCTGATGGAAATAAATTGCATTAAAATACTTGAACTGATTTTTTGCTTGAATATTTATTATTAGTTTTCAGTTATTTTAATTTTGTATAATATTAATTGTTTATAACATAGACAACAACAAAATTATTTATTCGATCTTACTAAGAAATTTGAAATTTACAATTTCAAAAATATAATAATAATATTTGTGTTCGGAAAAACTTTATGCGAATGACAGATTTCCTGAGAGGGATTATAAATTTACACGAAACAAGATATAACAAGATACACATAAATGTTGATACGAAATAAACCTAAAATTAAATGACAAAAACAACTACAAATAACTTTGTAGTATTTAAATAAAGAAAAGTATAGATGTTGATGTGTTTTCTTGTGGCTGCCTATTTGACAGAGGATAGTATTTTTATTCATCGACACTAACGATATTTTAACAATCCAACATATGAAATAAGTTCACTCAATATTTAATTGTACATATTTGTTAACTAGCAAAATAAACCCAACGTAAAAATTATACACAATTACCATCAACCTTCACCACATTAGTAAATACGCGTATTCAACATGAACAATTTTAGTGCGGATATTAATCACTAATTTTAATTATAATATAGCAGAAATCAAACACTTGGTGTAGCAAGGTCTAAAATGCAACAATCCTTCATTGCAGTACCTCATTACTCAAAAAATGAATATTTAAAAATGTATATTGCTATTTTATTTTGAAGCATCTGCTACCAAATCAATCAGTAAATTATTTTTTGAACTTTTTTTTTTATTTCTCAAAAAAAAAAAAATCAAATTTGAATACATAATACAAGAAATGTTTGAGTTTGATTCAATACGAGACTTTTATTGATTTTTCTATCAAAACAATTCAAGTATTATTTAATTAAAAAACTAATATTTTCAGACAAATTTGTTACTTTATTTAAAAAATAACACAATACAAATCACTATTACTTTACAAAAAACAATTTTTAAGTAATTTCAAATTTTTGGCGGCAAAATTGCAATAAAAAACACAAATGTATATTTTCTAAATGTTTGACGAGAGCTATTATTTTATATATTTAGGCTCCACGAAGTTTAAAAATGAAACTGCACAACCAAAAAATTACTTTTACCTAATACTTTTTCAACTTTTATTCAAACTTACCTATATCACGTATATAATTTCATAAACTATTTATTTTATTTTATTTTAAAAACATATTTTTCTTCAGCGCAAGAATGTCCTGGGGGTATACCCGTGACATATGTTAAGTATAGCAATTCTGCTCCAAGATCTGTTATTCAACCAATTTTGTTATATGCTAGTGTGCCTGGAGTCGCCATTACTGCTGAATGCTACAATAGGTGAGGAAAATTTAAACCGATCGTGTAAGCTAATAAATAAAAAACAAAATATTTCCTAACAATATTTCAACAGGCCAAATTTTTAACTTGGTAGATCAAAGTCAAAATATAATATGTATAATACATTTATTAAGTTATTACTATGATTAAACTGTTTTCTAATTTTTACTCAAATTTATATATAACGTGTTCATTTATTTTGATAAAAAGTATATAAAATATAGTCATTTTAATAAAAGTTTTAATCTACTTTTACAAAAATCAATTAAATCATTTTTAATTTTAAGGATCTTTTACTTATTTATAAATTATTTTCATTAATTGCCATATTAATAAAATTATTTTATGTAATTTTTATTATTTTGTAATTTGATTTGTAAATTAATAGATGCCGAAAATCAATGGACTGCGCAGGATTTATCATTGATTACCCTTCTACGTCATGTTATCGGGTACCTAACATGGGCAGCTCAACAGATAATATTATTGTTAGTTCCAGTTCAAATTTCTTTAGAAAAGCATGTCTTCGAGGTAAATTTTAGTTTTCATATAAACAGGTGAATGATAAGAGGATCTTTACAATGCTTTTTAATCAGTCAAAACAACAGTGTTTGTCAATCAAATTAATATGAGAATTAATTTTTTAATCTTAAAAACCTGATAAATTGACGTAAGATAAACACTAATACGTAAAATAGATTAAGTTACCACTTATCTATTCTTGTTACTAATTCGTTTCGACTTATTTTGATTTTATCTGTTAATATCAATTAAAAAGAGCTTTCAACCAACATCGATGAACTATAAATTGTATTTTCTTTTAAGTTCCGGAAAATTGTAATCGAAAAGCATGGCCTATCGAAGTTTCCATGGATTATGAGCTGAATGGCTTTCAGCTTTCGGTTATACCGAACGTGGTAGACAAATGGCAGTGCGCACAACAATGTCTCGATCAACAGTGTAAATCAGCTAATTACTATCGGAAAACTAAAATTTGTTCATTGAACTCTGAAACAAGGAGAACCAAACCAGCAGCGTATAGCCCAAGCCCAGGTCAAGTAGAATATTTAGAAAACCAATGCGTTGACCAATCATCAGGTATTTTTTACCACATACAGAATAAACCAGATCTAACTGACAACTCTTATAACATTTGATCTAATAATAATTATTATTATTATATAATATGAAAGATATTATTTGATCTTATAATAATCATTATTCTTCTTAGACTATGTTATAGCATATTTTTAAAATTAATAATAAAAATGTATTATTTTATTTTAAATTTCAAAATTGCTATATTTAACCGTTTACAAAAAAATTTGATAGGTCAATAACAGTTTTAAGGCAAGTGCTCATTAAGTTACAAACATTGTAATACATACAGGGCAGGTGGAGTATGCATTATAAATATACACCAGTATGAGCTGCACCTATCCTCATTATATAGCCACTTTATGTATTAACAACTCAACAATTATTTGTCTTAAAATTGTTATCGACCCATCAAATTTTGTTTAAAGATAGGGTTAAAAAATAGACTATTTTTAAATTTAGACAAAATATGATGACAATATTTTCTTATTATTGATAAATAATTAATTAATAAATAATCAAAAAATATGTCTTAAATATAGTCTAAGAAGGCAGTAATTATTTTTTAAAACAAATGTTTACAAAATTGGTATACGTATAAAAAGTTATAACAGCTGTCAGTTAAATGTAATTCACTGTGTATACACTAATAATTTATTTGACTTTATTAAAAAAAAATTTTAATTATATTAACATAAACACTTTTTACGATAAACCTACCTTATTTTCAGGCATAAACGAAATGCAGTCTTGTTGGCATGAACCTGTATTCAACAGAACTTTGCAACAAGTAGACTTGCAAGTGGAAAATATCAATATAGAACAGGTATTATATATATTGTTATAATAAAAGAGTCCAACAAATTTGATCATTATTGTCAAATAAGTACACTTACGTCTAATTTAACAGCATTATTTTGTAGCCAAGCCATTTCTATTTATTTAGACCAATCTTGAGTATTCCATAATGATTTTTGTGTATACTAATAAATTAACACTGAACTATATTCTAATAAAAATAAGAAAACATAGGTTAATTAATTCAGTAAATTTTCAAACAATGATCTATAAATAATATAAAGATGAAGAATCAAACAAAATATCAGTACTTATAGATCGCGGAATGAAACATTTTCGGGGAATTCCGCGTATATTAAAAACTGTTTTCTCTGCACATGTACGAGTATATTTTTACACATAGATTATTTGAGTACTTTTTATGTTAAGTGTAAAGACAGGTGTGAAGCAGAGGAATATTTCAATTGCCGTGGTTATACATTTAAATGTCCAACCAACGAATTCTATGGTGGTAGTATCTGTCTTTTACATAGTGACGATACCATGACAGCCGGTCCTCTCGTTCCTTCACTTTGTGCTACATACGTCGAAAGAATTCCCTGCATTGATCGTGAGTCTAAAATTGTTTTAAGTAGTTATTATTAACTGTCAATAATTGTTATTTAACGATTTTTAGTAAGTGTTACTTGTAGCGATACTACAATGTCAGTAACGCTAAATTCTCCAGCCTTCAAAGGACGCATGTTCGTTCTCGGACGTCCAGAAGAATGTGGTGTAAACGGAAGAAATATGGACACTACAACGATGACAATGCCAATTACGGAAAATCATAATCAAAGAAATCCATGCAATATAGTAGTAGCCAAGTCAACACAGGGCAATAGGAAATTAGCCACAGCTGTTGTTGTGGTTCAACATCATCCTATTATACAAACTGTTGGTGACCGAGTGACCAGATTGTCTTGTGCAATGGGTTCAGACTCACGATATTCACCTTCATCATCAGGAGGACAAAGACCGCAAAATATCACGTTGGACGCAACCTTTGGAGTAGCTGAACCAACGTAAATAATTTTTATTTCGGCTTATTGCAAAACTTATTAACTGTTATTTTGGTCATATTTTTTATAATTTATTATTACCGCCATATTATGTACAAATATGTGATCTTATTTTTTGAAACTGCATTAAGAACAATACATTTAACTTGAACATCGTTTTTATAAAAAAAAACAATCATATAATATACAGATAATAGTTGATAATAACAAATTAAAAAAAAACACGTTATAGTAAAAACAAAACGCATCAAATCTAAAATTATAAAATAACGGTTAATGAGTTTCCGCATCTGACCGCCGATTTGTAATATTATACCCTTTACCAGAATCCATAACACTGTCTACAATGATGGAGGATTTGATTCAAATGGTTTAATTGGTTCAGCAAATGTGGTAGCTAAAATGCGCATATTGGAAGTAGGGCACAATGATAGAAAAGTGTCTGAAGTGACGCTCGGCGACGAACTTGAACTCCGCATTGACGTCAATTATCCTTATAGTAAGATGAAAATTATCTATTAATTAATCAATTAACTAATATATATTTTACGTAGATGCTACAAAATTAAGGGCTGGTCATTTGGTAGCTAGTTCGGGTGATGGACTAGATTCATTGCTGCTTTTAGATTGGAGAGGATGTCCTCCAGAACCTGCCACATTTCCAGTGCTAGAGTTCATGCCACCCAACTCAATGGTAGCTCGATTTAAGGCCTTTAGGTTTCCATCCTCTCCTATTCTTCGATTCAGTATCATGCTGACGTTCTGCGAACAAGATATCTGTCAACCAGTACGTATTAATAGTTTAAATAATGTTTACAATTATTAATCTCTTTAGTTTTATAATACAGAATGAATGTGACGATGGACGAGTTACTCTTGGAAGACGTCGTCGAGCCGTATCACCTACAGAAAATAAAAGTAAAGAAGTGCCATTACAACTTGCTATTGTAGTTCGATCTATAGAGGAACAAGAGCAGATTATTGCCGATCAAAGTTTAATAAAAGGAAACGATTCAATACCGTCCAATAACATCGATAGATTACCCAGAAATTTATCAACTACAGGTTTGAATTGATACACGATATGTTAATATCTAATATATTTATAAGAAAAAATTTACAGTGTTTAATTCCGACGAGTGGTGTATTTCCTTCACATCTGCTCTGACTATGATTGCTGCATTGATCGCTGTTCAAACATTAATTTTTATAGTCTTTTGGTCCTGTTTACGCCAATCCAAAAAGAAAGCCGTCAACGACAGAGTTACATTAAACTCCGACTTTCAACCTAGACATGTTACTTGGGCTGATAGCCAATAACCGTTACCATTATACAACACCAACCTATATTTATTAAATAATGTATTTTATAAAAATATGTACATATTTTTTAATTAAAAATTTTCTTATTGAATAAGTTCTAAAGTGTAATTATTCACAGTTGCACTTTGGCAATCTCGTGTATTATAAAACTGCATGTATTCAGTAGTATAGGTAACGTAAAAAAATTAAATTAAAATCGAGACAATTGTAATTATAAAATTATGTTTTCATTCTTCTTACTAGAAATATTTATAAAAAGTATTTTTTTAAGCTTACAAATTATACTGTTATGAATATAAATTTATAGTTCTTTAACTGCTTATAGTTATTTTTTATATTTTTACTTTTACTCTTAACTTATTTAAAAAATAATGAAGAAATTAAATTGATTTATAAATAACAATAATTATCAGAATTTTTCATTTTGATGTATTTTTAAAATGGCCAGTTTATATAATTTTTTTAAATTTTTACACGAAATATTTTACACCCTCTGGGAGATTTTCTGCTGGCGTATCTGTCATGAACAAATATTATCTTCAGACGTATGGAACTTAAACGTCACTTGTTGATTATACATTATTTTTTTTATTTTATAACTATAATACTTTTATTCTTTCCATTGCTTTAAAAACACTTAAAAAGTAAGTAAGATAGAATACAAACTCTTGAGTGAACATAAGTTAATGGAACAGTATATAAGCATAGAAAATCCTTTTTTTGGTAAAATTCAAAAAAATAAATATTTATTGATTGAAGATTGCAAGAAGATATAATTTCCGTTTTAGGAGTACAAAAAACTAGAGACATAAGACAAATGAAGTTAACATAAAATATTAAATATTACACACAGTTAAAAATAATAATTATATCAGTTGATGGTGATGGTAATAAATCTTTATTGCCATATCATTTTTTCCGATTCATTATTTAAATAGCCAAAGTTGACGTTTGAACATGGTTGAAAAAATATTTTATATTTTAATTATACTTTAAATTCAAAAAGATATTATTTAAAAAAATAGTATATATTATAATATAGTTTAAGAAAATGTTTATGTAAAAGTATTTGTCGTGTCTAATTTGATTTAAATATATTAAGATGAATAAAAGTATCAATCTGATAATTAACTATCGAATGTATGGTAGCACTGTACACTTAAGTGTACCTATAATCAATGTATTTTCAATTTTTATCATCAGCTGTCCTTTATCCAATAAACATAGTATTCTTAATACGTATTATACACAACACACACATTCGCCTTATAGGCGATTATAGTTCTTGATATTATAAATGTTTAATTCTGTTGTCCATTAGTCATTTCTTGTTTGTAAAATTATAGTATGTAATATTTCTTATAAATCTCTAACTGCAATGCAGTGTTCTCCCGATAGTATCATCGAGTTGTCCAAAGTATGCCGGTTATGTTTGTCTGTTGTTGACTGGCCGATAAGTGTATTTGATGAGTTAGCTGCCAAAATATCCCAATGCCTCCAAATTAATATATCTCGTACAGACTCGTTGCCTAAACAAGTGTGTGTTAAATGTAAAGACACAATTAATGAATTTCACTCTTATTACAATAATACCTTAGAATGTCAAAAACAACTTGTTCGGTACATGAATGACTCGGTACTAGATGCTGAAAACACTAACAACATAGTAAGTATTATTTCTGGGATATTAATATCATTAATCTTAAGATCTTAAATTTATTCTTTTTTTTTAGGTTACTAGTGACTTTGAACCAGTGGTAACTATTGATTATGATAATATAGAATATAAATCAGAGTTTAATGAATCAGATCATTGGCTTGATGAAAACCAATCTGAAATAGAATTAAAATCTATTAAACTTGATAAGTAAGTAAATATATAAGTAAAAAGAAAAGATGGAGTAAGTGAGTATGCTTTTTTTTTTGCTTAAATTTTTATAAAATGATTTGTGTAGTATTCTTCTGTTAAATAATTATTTTATTTAACATAAGAAGTATTAGAGTACTTAAATTAATGATAAAAAGTTAAAATTAAACTTTTCAGTGATTATTAAAGTAGAAAAAAATTAAGATTACACTTGCCCCAATAGTGGGACAAATTAAAAATTAAATTTGATAATAATTTTAAGAGTTATGGATTTATTATTTTAATGCCAATGTCAATTATTCAAGTTTCATGTTAATTTGATTCATTAATGCTTTATATTAGTTAGGTGGTTAGACAAAAATAAATGATGAATTCTCAAGTAATCCATTTGATTGTGATATATTATATACTAAATGAATTCACAATATATTCACATATTCATAGAAAGTATGAAATCATATTTAAATCAATTATAATATTATTCAATTGAAATTAATCTTATGAAAAAATGTAGTATTTAACCAAATTGTGTTAAATTTTTACAAGCAAGTGATAACAGACTATGTCACACAAAAATTAATAATTCAATATTTAACAGAGCTACAATTATAAGAATTAAAGAATTAAAAGTGAACAACATAACATTTTGATAAATTTCCTTCTAATGAATAATCAGATGTTATGTCTTAATGTACAACAAGTTTACTTACCCCATCTGATCTTATGTATTTATTATATTATATTTCTCATTTCCTGTTTACTTTAACTACATTTAAAATTTTTAATTGCTTATTTTTATTTTACTAAATAGGACAACTTTAGATGGAAATGATAAAAAACCAGGTAAAATTAAGACTTCTCTTAAGTCAAGGAATAAAATGTTTAATTGTACTAAATGTGAAGAGTCATTTGATACAAAGAATGCTCTCAAACTACACAAAAATGATGTTCACCCACATTCTGAATACAAATGTAATTTTTGTGATAAAATATTTGATACTATGTGTGCTCGACAAAAACATAAAAAAGAAGAACATCCTAGCATTACTTATTTTTGTGATACATGTGAATATAGAACTCCTTACAAAAGTCGAATGCAATATCATGAAAACCGGCACAAAAAAGTTTACAGCGTTTTTTGCGATGCATGTCAAGCAGGCTTTTTCAATAAAGATGAACTAGCTACACATGAAATTAAAAATCATGGTGCTGAACCTTACCAATGTGATAGATGCAGTAAATTATGCACATCCAAAACTAACTTGTATAGTCATATGAAAGTTCATACAACATCTGCTGAATCTGTCAGCTATCAATGTGAAACTTGTGGTAAAGCATTTAGACGTATAGGGAGTTATAGAAGGCATATCCAATCACACTTAGGCCTTAAATATGAATGCTCTTACTGTAGTAAGCTATTGAGTTCAGCACATCATTTAAAATTGCATATTCGTATTCACACTGGTGAAAAAAATCATGTATGTGAAATGTGTGGCAAAGCATTTACCGTTAGCAAATACTTAGTTGAACATAAAAGAATACACACAGGTGAACGTCCTTTTAAATGTGAATTATGTTCTAAAGGTTTTACACAAAAGACATCTTTAAGAATACATACCAGATGGCATACTGGTGATCGCCCTTACAAATGTGATGTGTGTGATGACCGATTTGTTATCAATACATTCTTACAAAGACATATTAAAAAACATCATCCTAACTTAATTCAAACAGTTCAAAATTCTAATATTCTTCAACAAAATATACTAAATAACCCAACCTGTTTATTATAGTGTTTCATTAAAATTTTTTATAATTTTATCAAATAATAATTTTATATTCATCTAATCATGAATTGATTATTTATATAATAACTATGATTTTAAAGTAGTGGTATTATGTATAAAATATCAGCTCTGTGATATTTTAAATGCAATGCCTGCAAATTATTTTAATTAGATAAATAAATCATGAAAAATGATTTAAATTTTAAAAAGGTTTAATGTCAACTTAAAACTATAAGTTTAATTCATATTATTTATAAAAATCACTTAATTTTCTTAGCCTTTATTAGTTTAAGTTCCTAAAATATTATTTTAAATACTTCATGCTTTTTAAAATCTACTGAAAATAGTCACTATTGTGAAAATAGATATATTATTATGTCAACAAATTTTTATTTTAAATTGTTATATATGTTAAAATCTAGAACACTTCAATAATTTGTGGATTATATATTCTAATCATATAACAACACCTTCATAAATTACTATGTAGAAATGATCTAATCTTCATTCTATGAATATTATTTAAACTAAAAAGTATATTAAATACCATATTAAAAAACAAGAGATCAAAATGCTAAAAATACATGAGTTTTTTTTACTTTTTTTATAATTACACAGTTGACATTAGAGGATTTTTCTCAAACAGTATTAAAAATGTAATAATAAATAAAGAAATACTAGGAAATATAACAATGCAACAATAAGTAAAAAATGAGGATAAATTTTCCAGCATTTAATGTTCAGCTAGTTCTTTTACCCTTGATGAATAAAAAATGTTTAAGTACAAAATCTTAACAATATATTGCCATATAGATAACAGATTTATGTAATTGGTAAATTTTTTCAATGGGCTGATGAATTGGCAATATCATAATCTTGAAGTCCTAAATACACATAATACAATTTCAATAAAAATAGTTTTTATATTTGCAATATAATATTATGCACCCTGCTTTTTATAAAATAGGATATATCCATTGCAGTAATCTTCTTGGCCTGGCATTGTTTTTGTTGTGTTTTCATCATTGTAATAATACCATTCATTTGTTTCTGAATGTTTAGTATAAGCTGTATAATGTCCCATTGAAGTACCTTGAATTTTTAATAATTTTATTTTATGAATTATAAAATAAAAAGTAATACTGATAGAATACTAACTTCCAGTGTGACAAATACACGCATATAAGTCATATACTATATTTTGTGAAGGGTTCAAAAATAAGTTGTCAATAGGAAATATAACACTGTCTTGAAGTTTGATTCCCCAATTTTCATGAAAAACAAACCTAAAATAATCAATGTATTAATATATGAAAAAAAAAAAACTTATAAATATTTTGTTACCTTTTTAAGTAAACAATTAAGCAATTAGGATATTTAGATATGGACAAAGTTTTAGTGGCACACTGGTTTTTTTTACAGTTAGGGCACCACCAAGGATTATTTTCATCTAATAGTTCACTACAATACAGAAAAAACAATTACACTTATAAACTATTATATTTTTCTATATATAATATCATATAAAAATTTATTTTTAACCTTTGGCTAAATGCGTTTATACAATCATAAATGGTAAGAGGATGATTTGATCGCATTTGTTCTGTTGATACAGAATGTATTTCAGTCTCAAGTAAACTTATATCAACTATATTTTCAAAATTAACAGCCAAGGTATCACTACTACGTAGCTTAACCACTCCAGTTTTGGGGATAGCACAGCCACTACAATGTACATCCCACATACACCGAGAACACATTGTTCCTTGACCATCAACCAAAGACAATGAAAATTCTTCAGAGTATGGATGAAGTTTAGCAACTTCGTCATACAATAATTCAGCAGATAGTTCACTGGGTAGACGTACTAGTGTTGGTCTTCCAATCAAATCTTTTTCATTAGCTTGTTTCATAACAATTGGTATAGTTAGGCGCCTAATAACTTGATTAGTATTATTTGATATTTGTTCAATTGAAATTAAGTCTACAGTAGGATCTATCCGTACACGACATACAGGACAGTCCATCTTGTTTTTTTCGCCACTTGAATGAAAACAACTCATTTTAATACATTCTTCACATAAAATACAAGTACAATTATTCACATCATTATGATGCATCATATCAGGCTTAGACTCTAAACAGATTGTACAAGTTTCTCCTTGTTCCATTGTTCCAGAATCCAAGTCCAAAGATTCCTGTTAACATACAATAAGATTAAAATAGTTTTCCCGGTATTTATAAAACTTTAAACTTACGGTTATTGTCTCATTCTTATAAAATGACTCAATTTTACAACCATTAACACTTTCATGGTTAATTTCTAATAACTCAAAAGCAAACAAATCTCGGTTATTGTAATCCACACTTTTTACTAAATGATCATCATTCTATCCAAAATAAAGAACTTTAATAATTTTATATAATTAAAGCTTTTGAATATAAAGCATACCAATATTTTAGAAATATGTTTGTTAAAAACTTCAGCAACTAACAATATTTCAGGATTTATATTTTGACCAACTAAATTAACTAATTCACTTTTAAGTTTTTTAATATCATCTTGTTTGTTAACAGTTAGCAAATATTTGGTTGGAGCTTTATGTGTTGCACTAACAAATGTTATATCTAAAAGGTTCATTCAAATTAATTAAATAATTGAAATAACAGTATATAATATGATCTCACATATTTGTTGTTCTGTAGCAAATGGTAGAGGCACAGATAAATACATGAATGGTTCGTGCATGACAGAAATATAGTCACATTCTGAGCATATAACCTACAATAAAAAGATTTATTTAAAATTGAAAACAATTTAAAAAGTAAAAATTTTATGTTACCACATAACGTATGATTTTATGAATAAATTACTCACAGTACTTTCAAATTGACCTTGAAAAATTCTATTAATAACAGAAGTGTTGTTAAGTTTTTCAGTCAATGATGACCCTATTGAATCTGGTTCTGCAATTTCACTTTTTGATACAGTATCATCTAATTTAACACGCTTGAGATCCATAAAATTTGAATCAGATGAGGAATCACAACAAATTTCTCTTTTTCCATTTAATAAATCATCAAATCTCTGTTCATCAGTTTTTTGATTATCAGTACCAAATATCATGTTTTCAACATGTTCTATTGAAGTTGTAGAAGCATCATTTGATTCATATTTTTTTTTAATTGGTTGTTCATTATCAGTCATTTCTTCTGTTAAAGTTTCAAAAGTTTGAGGATAATTAAAATCAGTTGAACTTACAGCAGATTCTTCTGCATCACGTGGTAAGAGTCTTCTTGGATTGGACGACTTCCGAGTTTTACGAGAAGCAGACACTTTTAAGTGTCTTGAGAAATGTTGCATGAGTTCTTCATTTAAACTATCTAACAATAAAGCTAGAAACTCTTGACAATCATGTTGACTACAATCACGAAACTGTGCATACCGTTTACCAAGAACATATTTGAATTGATGGGGATTAATAACACTGAACTGACCATGCCATACACGTTTAACAAGATCTGCAAACTGTTCAATTAATGTATCTTCCGAGCCATCAATGTCAAAATTTAAAAAATATGTCACTAAAAATTCCGTTGACAATAAAGCTTGTAAACCTGCACTCATGAAACATGTGTTTCCAAGATTACGAAGCCCACAAACTCCTATTTCTGGTGGGGGTTCTGATAAATCAGCATCAGCAGTAAAACCTAAATTTAACCCAAGACTAGGAGAAGGTATTCTAGAGACAAAATTATCAGCCACATTAAATTCATCAAAATCATTTGGTCCTTGTAAAGGTATAGGAAAACTTGAGTTAGTTGATGTTGGAAAACATGAACCTGAATCTTCATTCCTAAAAATTATAATAATAATAAAATTTATTATTAAAAAACATTGTAAATATTTTAATTAAAAAAAAAACCATGGTACTTGCATTAGAAAATAAATTATATAAAATTGTACATCAAATTTTATTAATACATGATATAATACTTATTACATCAAATGTATTAAACAAGTTTGTATTGCAAACAATTAAGCTAAAAAAACTAAGAGTAAAATACTCACTGTTAACATACTTAATACTACTAACAATAAAAAAACAAATAATTATGATTTTAATCAAAAATTAAACATGATTTTATATTCGAATAATGTATAAAATGAATTCATTTTTTTATTAAATGGTTTTATATTAATATAATAGTATTCTATAAAATTTAAATTAAATGCAATAGTTCTTAAATTATACATGTACAAGTATAACTAAGGAAGCTATGAGTCTTAGCTTTTCAGTTAATAAATCAGCACCCCAAAAATTAAAAAAATATGTTTATTGTAATATAAAAATATTTTTTAGTAATAGGGAAATACCAATAGATGACTCAAAAATGTTGTTTTTAATGAGCCTATATTAAATATATCAAATAAAATATAACTTCTTCCAAGTTATAAACATTCAAAAGTAATTAGATAATATGTGTATCGACAGGTATTTGACTTACCATGAACTATCAATTGTCATCATTTGAGAAGGGCCAGAACCACCACTTCTTATAATAGCGTCAGTATCTGTTATACCAGATAATTCAGGTAACGTTTTTAAATCCTTATCAAGATTTTCTGCTAAAAATTCGGAATCACTCAAACTTTCTTTATTGTCTGCTCTTAAAAATTTGAAACGGTTGCTATGCAACGAACTCAAAATGGAAGACACCTCTGAAGTTTCCATATGTCGTGCGGTCTGCATAATGTGCAAATTATTAGTTGAAAAAAATTCCAATAAACAAAACCTAACTTTCTTTATACCTGAAAACCAAGATGGCTATTGTAGTGTTCCGAAAACTTTTCGGCAACACTAAAATTTAATTAGGAAGACACAGAACAATAATTAACATTAATGAACACTTTTAATATTAACAAAACACTAAACGTTTGAAATATACATTAACTAAAATCTGTTAATAAACCGCGTAAAAACACTACGGCACGCGGGAAATAGCACATCAATTAACAAATGAATCACAGCAATACAATAATAAATTAATTATCTAGAAAATAAATTATTACACTAATTGGCGCCTAAAAAATATCATTATCAACTAGACTAAGAAATCACGAGCAATGAATGTATAAAATTAAATTGTGAATGAAGTTACATATTATCGTATTTTCTTTTTGTTAAGTACAGATGAAAACATTGGTCGATCTTTTTAGGGTTATGCGGTTCAGTCAGGCACTACAACATAGAATATATTTCATTCAATGATATTTCAAGAATCTCCTTGAGAGAAATACCGGTAATTCTGAATTTACAATCTCTTTGATTTACATAAAAATCTCAATACAAACCGTTCGCAAAATTTATACCAATTTTGTTACAAAATAAAATTTTGAGTAAAGTTAGTTTAGTGTCAAAGTTTTTAGCCATTGAAAACTTACCGTTCAAATAACACTAGTCAATTAGGAATTTTCATCAGAGATAAAACTATATTTCTTAATCAATTTTTCGTTCTGATTTCAAATCTACAAATATATTTTTTCTATCACTATTTGAGATAACTATTTACTAATTAGTAAAAAAATAATTAAAAATAAAATTTTTTTTTTTATTCAAAATTATTGATTTTGATGTTAAAAATGATCAGTGCAAAATGTCGATAGTTATATGTCAATAACTTTAAAATAAGATTTCAAAAAACAAAAATTCAAGTTATTATTTTCATTATATAATGAAAATAACATACTTTACATTAAATTAAACTAATGAAAATTTTGTCATGGAAAAAATGATTTAATTATAAAAACAATACTACATGCTACATTAATATGTAGTTAAATCATTTTTTTGTTTGCTTCAGAAATAAAACACATAAATTGTTATTTTCTTTAACAAAAACTGCTACTTTATTGATGTGAAGCTGAGAAAGTAAGGTTTTATCATAATATGCGTTTATTTTATGTCTATCCATAAGAATTCTCAGCTCTCACTAGGTCGGTTTTGTTGGTATATCCATCAAAAAATCTAGTTAAATCTATCAATGCCAAAAATTTAAAAAACCATTCTTGAAAAATTTTTAGCTTCGATGCGAAGCGGAGAAGGTATTAATTTTACTATGATGTGTTTTTTTTTTTTTTTATGTCTGTTGCCACTTTTTCTCAGCTCTCACTGGACCGATTTCTTTCAAAAATACGTCAAAAGATCACAAATCGTATCTAGTTGAAGACATTACCCTTAAAAATTGAAAAAAATTCCCTCGTTCCCCGCAAATGGGGGAAATATCCAAAAAAATTACAAATTTAAAAATCGCTAATTTTCGAAATTTTTTCACTTTTTTTTCTTAAAACTTCCATAACTTTTTGAAAAATCAACAAATCAACATAATTTTTTTTTATACTAAAACCTTAGATATTTACCTTTCATTTGATATCATTTTTTTGAAAATCTATCACTTAACCTGCTCATTGGGGGGGATTTAAAATGGCAACTTTTTTACAAAAATTAATTTTTTCAACTTAATTTTTGAAAATGTTCCGGAAAGACTGCGTCCTTTAAACATATATCAAATTAAAGCTTATTTTATGTACTACAAAATGAAAAAAAAAAATTTGTCCCGACACTTTTTTTTCTACATTTAAACGGCTGCCGTAGTTAAAAAAACACTATTTTTGTGTTAAAATTTTCGATTTTCGATTTTAAATTTTCAACTTAAAAATGCTATAACTTTTTGAAAAATGTATATATCAGCACAAATTTTTTTTTTCTAAATACATTATAAGTACATCTTTCATTTGACATACTTTTTATTAAAATTGGACAATTTCCCCTTATATAGGGGGCGTTCAAAACTTAAAATATTGTAAAAAACATAGATCTTTTTCAACTGAACTTTTGAAAATGTTCCGGAAATACTGCGTCCTTTAAACATATATCAAATCAAAGGTTATGTTATATACTATCAAATGAAAAAAAAAAATTTGTCCCGACATCTTATCTTCTATGTGCAAATGGCTGTCGAAAATTTAAAAAAAAATGTAATGTTTGCGATAAAAATTACATTTTATCGGGATGTTTTTTGTACTTAAAACTGCCATAACTTTTTCAAAAATGAACAAATAAAAATAATATTTTTTTGTATTGAAACCTTAGATATTTCCCTTTCATTTGATATAATTTTTTTTGAAAATCTAACACTTATTCTGCTCACTGGGAGGATTTAAAATAGTAACTTTTTTACAAAAAATAACTTTTTCAACTTAATTTTTGAAAATGTTCCGGAAATACTGCGTCCTTTAAACATATATAAAATTAAAGCTTATTTTATGTACTACAAAATGAAAAAAAAAAATTTGTCCCGACGATCTATCTTCTATACGCAAATGGCTACCATATTGAAAAATATACTATTTTTGTATGATAATTATGGGTTTTGTATTTTATTTTAATAGAAGTTGATGTTGCTTTTGCAATTATCCATCAATTTTTTAAAATTAAACACTATCTACAGATTTGCATCGAAGCGTTTCTTATGATAGTGATTTTAATCACTGTCAGATTAAATCTATACTGGACCCTACTATGCAATGTCTCCACTATGCCGTGACCCCACTGTGCTACCGTTTTTATTATTAAATTTAGTTATTTAATGTAATAATGGGAGATAAATGGTGAAATAAAGCTTTGTGAAACGATAGGCTGGTCAATAGTTGCAATAGTTTAACATAATCTGAAATGAAGCCCTTGTGTGTTTATATATATATATTATAAGATTTATTACATCCCAGAAACTAATTTTATTATTAAAAAGTAGGTTATTTATAGACATTCTATTTAGATTTTTATTATTCATTGAGATAATCATTTTCCATCAATATTTTGTATCAAAATAATTTATTTTTTGCTAATTTTTATCTCAAGTATTCCAAAACAATTGAAAACTTTTAGAATTAGCTAATTCATTTCATACGATTAATTTGTCAATATCTATTCATTATTACAACATTGTTTAACTGCTAATTTAGAAGTTTATGAGAATTATTTTCAATTAAATGTTACCAGAATTACTAAAAAATATATGGAAAATTTTATTTAGTAAAAAAAATTCAAATTAATCAACACAAACACATCAAAAAAATTATATATCAAAAGTCAGTAGTTATTAACTTTGGCTAGTTGCCTCAATATTTTCTTTAGGATCACAAGGTCTTTTAAATTCTTGTCCTACTTCATGTAACCATTTATTGCACACTAAAAATAAAATATTTTTTATTATTTCCTAATATTTTAAGATAACTTTAAAACAATGAAAAAATGTTTACCCCATTTAGACCCTTGCAGTACAGGACAAGCAGCATGTCTAGTTCTAAGATCTCCATTTCCACTAGGATACAAATTAAACCACACTGCAGCAGTGCCTTTCACTGGTTTTAAAGCAACTCCTAACCATGGAAATACAGTAGCACCACCTTGTGCTACATCACTCATCTAAACAAAATTGTTCTTAATACATATTATATTTATAAAAATACATTTAATATATAATTATTGCTCACATAAAATAAAACTGTAGCAATTCTATTACCAGTTCCAAGAGATTTAAAAGCATTCGTTTCTTCTCTCTAAAATAAATACATTTTTAATATAAATCAATAATTATAATATAGTTTTCGATAACAAAATATTACTCTTGCAAAATCATAATGGGGATCATAATGTCCACCAACACCATAATTAACTACTTGTAGTTCTTCCGCAGTTTCAGTAGTAAGACCTGTCATAGTTTCAACACGTTTTGCCACATTAGCAATTACATTGTCTTCGTGTTCTTTTAACCATGCAGATTTACTAATCCTATAATCTGCAAATTCTAACTCGCCAGTTTTATAATTTTGAACAGTAGCTCTTCTAAGCTGTAATTATAACATAATGTAAATCTATAATCTTATTACAAATTAATTAAATATGAATATACCCTAGGTTGTGCCAAACGTTTTATAACATCGATTTCGTTGTTATACAAAATGTCATGGTACAAAACTATGCGTGGACTCAAAAAGGCTTCTTCTTCTTTCAGTGGAGCAATTATCAAGAAGGCTTGGTTGTTTTTGGTAGTATAACGGCAATGAAGTTTTGAACTCTCTTTCACAGACATTAATTTTTCATTTCTACATAACATCTGATAACGGTCACGTTCTTCTGGATCTAAAGAAGTGGAACCCATGCTCCTTTGATTAGAATCAGATTTTTCCATGTCTTTAGTACCATTTTTTATAGCTGCTTCATAGTAAGCTCTATTTCCTAAAGCGCGCTCATGATTTGGAAACAAAACTAATAGCTCATTAGTCAACTGTAAAGCCTTCTTCAAATTACCTAAAACAAAAATTATTGTTTATCACTGTTGTAAACATTTTGAATCAATTAGCAAGTGTAATTAAATACAAACCTTGCATAAAAGTAGAATAAGCAAGGTATTCCAATATTTCCCATCGATCTGTAGTGCTATTGGATCTCTCTTCTTCGTGTCTTCTCAGTGCTTCGTTCATCCATAATTCAGTGTGGTAAAAATCTCGACCATTGTAAGATTGTCGGCCCAATTCAAAACAGTCACCAGCTATATGAATCATATAAGTCCACAATAATTATTTATACATATTTGAATAAATATTTATGTATTATATTCACCAGTAAGTTGTGTGCTATATTGGATTCCATTCAATTCTCCTCTGGCAACAGATGACGTGTCAAGTTTGTACGTGTCTTGCAACCTCATAAGAGCAGTTGCCGCACCCGACAAGTCTTCTTCGGTAGGGAATTTTAAGAGCTCACGATATTGGGTTAGATTCTTCATTGCAGCTAAAATAATAATGTAAGTGTTCTATTATTATTATTTTAGTATTCAAAATTGTTTTAGATTTGAAACAAGAGCAACACTATGTTTATGTAAATTACACTACTGCTCAGCATTTCGCGATAATAAAACAGGGTTCTTAAGAAAATGTACACATACATAGCAATCAAACATACTTCAATGTGAATGCATTATGTATTTATGATTTACTTACCATCATAATAAGGGTCCTGCATTAATTTTTCAGTTTTGTACCAGTCACTGGTTAATCGTTTCACTAATAAGTAATCATTAATTGGATTAGATAAGTAGTTGGTAATGTCTTTTGCGGCGATCTTATGTTCTTTTTCATAATCATATGCATGTCTAAAACAAAATTATTCGTTAACCATATTACATATATTTAGAGTTAAGATTTTACTATATTATTTACTTTTTAAGTGAAGCTATTCTTTGTTCTTGGTCAGATATGTATTGATGGAGAGTCCTCAAAAGAACTGATTCAGTCTCTAATAATTCTTCGAGTTCAGCAAGAGCCGTATACACTTCAGCTCTAATAGATAAACTTAGAGCCAAGCACAATGGCAATGCTACCCATATAGGGTGCATCCCTGTAACGAATTAATCAAATAAAATATGAGGTACTACATTTTAATTCTTTATTCTGAATTCAACACGATAAAATATTTTTCCATTTTAAGAACCAATGAAATATTCTTGATAGTAATTTATGGTTCATTCATTTAAAGGGTATTATTTATTTCCCATAGTTACTAGTTTATAACAGCAATCAGTGAATAGTTTTAAATGTTAGCATGGGGTAAGGACCAAGAGGATGTGATATTTACTTCCTACATTATAGATAAACCAATAATGCGTTAGAATAGAGATAAAACTATTGTAATAAACATTAAATACTACATCCAGCAACTTAATTGTGATTGAACGTACAATTAAATCTAATTGTTACATGTCTAAAATTAAAATGAATCTGTTTTACATATGAAATATACAAATAATCTAATTTTATATGAAGGCAATGTATAATTAATTTATACGTTATCTATTGTTATAATAATCTCTCTCCTCTCACTACAGCCTTCGTAACTCTCACTGTGAGATTGTTAATACTCGTTAATTTTAAACGAAAGGTCAATGCCTAACGGATGCTGTGCATTTATTGTAAGTTTTGAGGCCCACAAATAATGGTGTACTTGTATTTTAGTTTTTAAATGTATTTCACAACGAAAAACAATATAAACTTAAATAATGATAGCAAAATTATTGTTTTAAAATAATTCTCACGGTAACTGTCCATGCAATATGCCGCATTTCAGTATAACATTATTATAGCGGGATTTTTAAGACGTATGGTCATGTAAAAATTAAAAACCGTTATTAGGTATTACACAGGGAAATGCAGCACAAATTAAAGGTACGCTTACACCTCTTTGTTTTTTTTAATTGTGACCCCGTACATTATTTAACGACCTTAAAGTCGAGCCACGGCATCTTACGCCCGAGGCAAGTCTATTATATTATACATGTACAATTAATTTCACTTTTATCAATTCCGTGTCTATTGATTAACAAAAAATTATATTAAAATAAGAGTGAAAACTACATAGTAGTATTCATAGAGTAGCATATGAATACAGTTGTCTATTAACAAATTCATATTGACTTCATTATTAATCGTCAAACGATAATCTGGTTTATTTAAATTTACTGTGCTTCTTTTGAGAACCAAAGTAGTAATGAATACTAAAAAACCCAGCACAGGGGGGTCGCGGCACAGTGGTGACGTGGCATAGTTGGATCAAGTATAATGATATCTGACAGTGATTAAAATCACTATAAAAAAAAAACGCTTCGATGCAAATCTTTAGATAGTGTTTAATTTTAAAAATTGGTCAATTATTCCAAAAGCTACATAATCTGCTAGTTCCTTATTAATATCCTGATTAAGATAAAGTATGTCGAAGGAAAAAGGGATTATTAAAAAATATTATTTCTCATTAAAAAATTATGTTAATCCATACACTTTTCAATAAGTTGTATCATTATAAAGTTAAAAATGTAAAAAATAAAATCGAGAATTTTCACACAATAATAGCATTCGGTAGCTATTTTCACCGTGAAGACAAAATAAAGTCCGAATTTTTTTTTTTTTCATAATAAAGTATATTACATTAGCTTTAATTTAAGATATATATAAAAGTGTCAGACTTTCCGGAACACTTTCAAAAGTTTAGTTGAAAAAGTTCTACTTTCTATATGCATTTTTTAGATTTAAACCTCCCTCGTATATAGGGAAATGGTCCGATTAAAAAAAAAAAGTATGTCGAATGAAAGATGTGTATAAATACTACTTCTCATGAAAAAATTGTATTGATCCATACATTTTTCAAAAAGTTATAGCATAATGAAGTTGAAAATGGAAAATACAAAATCGAAATTTTCACGCAATAATAGCATTCGGTAGATATTTTCACCGTGAAGACAAAATAAAGCCCGAAATTTTTTTTTTTTCATGATAAAGTATATTACATTAGCTTTAATTTAAGATATATATAAAAGTGTCAGACTTTCCAGAACAGTTTCAAAATTTAAGTTAAAAAAATTAATTTTTTGTAAAAAAGTTGTCATTTTAAATCCCCCCCTGTGGGCAAGTAAAGGGTCCAATTTACAAAAAAAATATATCAAATAATAGTTAAAAACATCAAGCATCTATAAAAAAAAATTTTTTATTGATATGTTCAATTTTGAAAAAGTTACGGCAGTTTTTAGTAAAAAAAATTGAAAAAATTTCGAAAATTAGCGATTTTTAAATTTGTAATTTTTTTGGAGGTTTCCCCCATTTACGGGGAACGAGGGAATTTTTATCAATTTTTGAGGATAATGTATTCGACTTGATACGATTTGTGAACTTTTGACGTATCATTGAAAGAAATCGGTTCGGTGAGAGGTGAGAAAAAGTGGGTAACAGACACAAAAAAAAAAAAACACATCTTAGTAAAACCAATACCTTCTCAGCTTCGCATCGAAGCTAAAAAGCTTTTAATAAACATTTTCAGTCATGTAATTATTTATACACAAATGTTACATACATTATTTTATATAATTCTATAACTATGTAAGTTGTAAAAATGCTAAAAAGTTGTAACTGTATAGAAGCTACTACAGTTCAATAATTTTAAATATAATAAACTGCTATGTTAGTGTTGTAAAACCTCGATTTTAATATAAGTAGTGTGAAAAAATGTGAGCACCAATATATTCTCTATATAATACACTAAAATCTAAGAATCATCAATGCGTGACAGTGGCTCACCCGAATCAATTAACATAATAAAAGTATTGTTCTGGCCAATTGCCATAGTAAAATAAAAATATTAACTCTATCTATGAACTGTGACAAAGTATATTATATATATATATATATATATATATATATATATATAAATATAAAAACATTAATCTATGTTTAATAACGAGCTGCTTTTGTAAATACAATCTCAAAATGCAAAGCGACACAAGGCATATTTACCATTGACCAATACGAAAAATGTATTTAAATAAATATCAGATATGAATTAGGTCATTTGACATATGCATCTCCATTATATTAATACAAACTTAATGAATGGGGTAATGATAATGTAGCGCGCATCGGTACCCAAGGACAGATGGTACTTCGAACAAAATTTATTTTGATTTCTTTACGAAGTTATAAAGTAAATGTTTAAAAATAAATATAAAAAATACAGTATTCCTTAAAGCTATAATGTATGTAATTACTCTACTGTATAGATCATATACTATATGATCTATACAGTAGAGTAATTTAATAGAGAATATAATACATTCTCTATAAAGTTATAAATTCAAAAATAACCATATATACTTTCGCGATTTCACAACATTTGAATACATCGTGTACATTACATACAACTGATGTCAATCGATTTTAGATACCTTTTACTTTCATACGGTGAGGAAATGACTATAATATAATGAACCTATAGCTACGACAAACGTCAATGTAGATGAATAGTAGATACAATGAAGATTAAATGCGGCCTAAGGACAACATCTTTTGGCACCCGCTATTTCTGCTATTATCACATGAGAAGAAGATCCTATAAATACAGGTTTAACCAGTACGAGTTAAAATACTGGTATTTTTTTATTTTTATTTGTCAGCGCCACCAGAAGTCTTGTATCTAATCTTTCCATAGATAACTTGGCCAAATTTAAATTAGGATAAATATATAATGATCGACAATGCGTCAAAACAATTAGATATTTTATCATATGTCAAAGTATCGCTACTTAACGTTGAAAGATCAAAACAAATCAGATGAGTCAAGCGACATCACACGATCGCGTGCATTGATGTGGGCAGATAATCATCTATGTACTAATACTTGATCATTCCAAGGTGTCTTAAAAAACTCATACGAAGGAATAAAAGTCGGAGAAAGTGAACGTATGTTGTTCTTATTGTAAACGATTTGACTATACTAAGTATTTACACATGTATACATGCATTCTTACAATTAATATTCCTTACAAAGAACAACAATTATTAATTCATATTATTTCGAAGCAGATTTAACCTTGCCCCATGAGCAAACACATATATTAAATTTCCTTCGCAGAAGGTGCCATATTGTGTACTTAACATTTATTACAATACTTTTTAGAATTCACACATTACCCGATGAAAGTGTTCGCCGTTTTCCTCTAAATAACACGGCGGGTAATTTGAGTACATTATATGATATGGTTTAAGTAACGTAATAATAAGCGTAAGAAATATAAAATTGATTGCGATAGACCCAATGGGTATAGCAAGTAAATACAATAGAATCAAACTTTGTTACACAATCATTAAATAATAAGATTAATTAATTTTTTAGCAAATCGTAAATCATAATTAATATTAATACCACATGGTGACTCATATTTGGAATATTAACACACTAGAATCACGCTATATAAAATTAAACATTTTTACATTTGACTTGTATGCTGTATATTAAGACATTATACATTTACAAAGTATATATTTAATAAATTGTATATCACAATATAAAGTTATGTAAAAAATAAACACGTTTATTGACCCAAGTTCTATTTATTACAATTATTTATAGAAAATAGAAAATAAGAATAGTTGCATGGAAACCCTTTATAAGTAAAGAAAGTCTTCACAAATGAAACTGGGGGCTTGAATTTAGAATTTAAAAATAAAGCTTGAATTTTGTTTCATCGTTAAAGATTTTCTATTAATAGGTGTATACATGGTATGGGTAAATGTATTTATTAAAATGAAGTGCACGACTACAGTTATTATATTAAATACATTTTTTCTACGTTTATATTAAGTAAAAGAAAATGTTACATTGATAGTCACGATTCTTTTTAGAATAATAATTCAAAGTCAGGTGACTCTCATTGCATAAAATGGTAAAAAAATATTAATCCACAGGTAACCGACACGATCTTCAAGTATAGAAAACTATCATTTAAATCATTAAAATAATTGTCACAATAATTAGTATTTATATAAATTAGTTGATTGATTATAGTTTAATTATTTAGTTCATACTATTTTACTAAACTAACGATTTCTAACATAATTTAACTACTCAACTCTAGTAAATTGTATTATTTTAATAAAAAAGATTTATAAAAAAAAAATACATTTCAACTACGATCAAAATCAAAATATACATCATAAAATAAATTGTAATATAGTTCAATAAAATAATTGCAACATGTTTTTAATTAAAAAATCTCTGACTTCCCTGATTAAAAAAGAAGTTTTCCTAATTTTCCATATTTGTGGCAAATTTTAATAAATTTTACTATTGTTGTAATGTAATTTTTAAGTGTAATATAACGTAAATAAAGTTTTTTTATTATTATTATTATTATTATTATTATTATATATATTTTTTTAAATAAGATAATAAATATTTTTTTTTAATTAAAACGGCACAAATTAAATGTATATGTAATGATAGTAATAGATTTTTTTATGTAGAATGAATGTTACATCCAATTGCCACTAAGGTATTGATATGTAAACTAATAAAATAATATTTTTAGAAGATAGTTTATTAATACATGAAATATAGTAAAATCATACATTTCCAATTAATTTATGACAAATGCATTTGCCAATTTTATATAATTTCTATATATCAATTAGTGATAGTAAGTATTAATGTATAGTATTTCCAATATTTCCAAACAAAAATTTTATGTTATTAGATAAAATAATTTTTAATTCACATGCAAAACGAATAATTTTATATTTTATTTACATTAAAATTTAATCGAATTCTATAATAACATAAAAACCCTAATTATAATTTATCATTTCGAACTTAATCTCCAGATCAGGGGATCATAATCATAATCATATGTATTAGGAATTAAAGACCTCCCAATTAAGAAACAATAATTTAAAAAAAACAATTTTTTTTTTTAATTTAATCAAAAACCTTTTTGTAAAGGTAGCTATAATGCTAAATACACCCAACTTTTTTTATAAAGTATTTATTAAGTTAATTCATCAAAGATCGATCATACCGTTTGATCGATAATTATAATACAAAATAAGATTTGGACTAAATGGGCGCTTATGAAATTATATAAGTCCATAAACGCTATTTGAGGGTCTAAAAGATACTTAGCTCACATAAATTTCATCATTACCCCGTAAAAATCATATTTAATGTAATTTGTATAAAACTAAATAATTATATTGATAGGCAAATATTCCAAATTGACTAAACAATAAGCTATTGGAAAGTAATGACAATTATATGATTTAATTCCATCCCTTTGAAATTCAAGTTTACGGTTTCATAGAAAATAAAAAAATAAATCATAAGTGAAACACAAATTAAATTTAACTGTTTTGTGTTTGAATAGAGCTAGGAATCAGATTGAAATTTGGATATTTTCTAATTACTTGATGACAAAAAAATGTTAATAAATAAATAATGTATTTTACCTATTAGTAAATTAATTGTTAGTACAAAAAGGTTCTGATGATGTAAACATTATTATTACCCTTTCAAAATAAATAGTACCCTTTATACTCTTTGCACTAATCAACAATAAGTCAATTAAGACCGCACAACACATTCTTTGTAAATTATCCAAATAGTAGGTGCATATAAGACAAAAGATAAACTTACCAATAATTGTTATGTTCGTTTAAAAAAAAAATGTACACTTTACGACGTCAAGTTCAAAAAGTCTACCGAGCATAACATCACAACTGATCACTGAATGCTAACTGATTAACACAAAGTAAATCCCGAATATTGTTGGATTAGATTCTCTACCATAACATCAGATTACTGTGAAGCGCCTCCCAGTTAAAGTGGAAATGGTGTATTATCAGTGTTATAACTGATATCATAACATATCAACAAACAGAAATAGATTATTAACTGAAAATGAAATAATATATTTCTTAATTAAAATCATCTTTAAGTGACATTGTATGTCTAAATTATTATAATTTTATATTAAAAATTGGAAAAATGTAAATATGTAATTGTTCTTTTTTAAAGAATGAAATTCTTATCGATATACTTATATGATAACTAATATTATTGAAGTTCATACTCCGAATGATAGACCTTATCTATTTTGTGTTTCGCACGTGAATAAAATAGTGTGATTACGATTGTAAATCGTGTAGTTAAAGATTTAATTTACCAAAAAAATTGAAAGATTTTACATATTTTTGAGTAACGTTTTAAAATAAATCTATATGAATGAATATTGGCTAAGTTTATATTAGCTCAATAAACCTTTAATGCAACGGCAATAGATTAATTTATCTTACGTTTTAATTATTTAATTTAATGAGTTATTTTATTAATAATTAAATTAGAAAATTAGAGTTTATGTATAATTTTCAATTAAAGTATTAGCTAATCTATTTTATCTTAGTACACTAATCAAAAATGAAACATTGTCAGTATCTACTGTGGTTTGCTCATGAGCATGTACCTTTTCGATTACTGGTAAAATATCTCTAATATTCTTTAAATACAATATAGTGTTTAATTAAGAAAACCAATTTAATCATTTTAATTATAAAATTAAATATTGTTTTAAATATATTCTAAATGCTATCTATTCAATTATAACTAATAAAACTTTTTAGGAAATTGAATCAATTGCATCTGTGTTGAATATACCCATAAAATGGCTTGAATCTCCTTCTGATAAAGTAAGTTGCTTGAAATTTTTAAATAATTAATTTTGATATATATTATATCATTTTTTTGTACTTCTATAGTTTTATTCCTTTGATAAATTTTAATTAGCCATTTTTTATTTATTTATTTATTATTATATTTTTATTTTTATTTTTTAGCCTTGGTATCTGGTAGAATTACCTAATGATGAAGCAGTTGTAAAAATATCAGAACGTTCAGTAACTATGCGCCGAGCTTTACATCTTTTGGCTGATGAAATAAGTATACCAATTCTTCATGAAACACTAAAAAATAAATGTATGAATGGTATATTAGAGCCGTATAAATCAAAATCTTTTAAATTGGATGTGGATTTGTTTTGTAATTCACAAACACAGCAAGAAAAAGTTAAACGGATTGAGGTACATTAAAATTTTTCAAGATAAATATAAATAAAAAGTGAGATAATTAATATAGTCTTTCAGTTATTTACCATTCCAAGGAGCTGTAGACCTAAAAAATCCTGAGGTGATATTTCAGTATATTGAATATTATGGATTAGATCCTAATGTTGTACTTAAACAACCTTTACGCACTTTTTTTGGTCGTGTTGTAAGTAAAAAATTAGTTCATTCAAATTTTTTTTAACGTGTTAGTTTTCAGGTGGCTGAAAGTGGCCGAACATTAATTCATAAATTGTCCTTGAAAAAAAGAAAGTTCATCGGTAATACAAGTATGGACCCACAACTCTCTTTGTTAATGGCTAATTTAGGAAAAATTTCAAATGCTGATCTAGTATTAGACCCATTTGTTGGTAGTGGTATGTTTTTAAATAATTATATATATTTTTTAAATTTTACATCACAATAATTATTTCTTGATTTAAAACTTATTTAGGTTCCTTATTAGTAGCTGCTGCAGCATTTGGAGGTCATGTTCTTGGAACTGATATTGATTTTTTAATGTTACATGGGCGCACTAGGCCCACTAGAAAACAGACTAGAGTAAAAAAAAATTATACCAAGTATACTTTAGAAGTTTTTGATCAAAGAATTTTTTTAGGATGTAGCTCGAAAAGATGAAAGTGTGAGAGCAAATATGGAGCAATATTCTTTTATTGACAAATACATTGATGTAGTAATTGCTGATTCATCAACTCCTTTTTGGCATGAAAATTTAGAATTTGACTGCATTTTGACAGACCGTAATATATAACTTTATTTTACCTTTAAATTATCAACTCTTGCATTTATATTTAACTGTTACTTTATAGCTCCCTATGGTATTAGAGAACCCACTAAACGAATAGGTTCTAAAGATAAATTACCAATTGTAAAAAAAGAAAGTTCTCCAATTCATTTTCCTTCTAAAGTTGAATATGGTTTAAATGAAATAATAAAAGATCTGATGTGTTTCTCATCTAAACAACTTAAATTAAATGGGAGATTGTTATTTTGGGTCCCAGTGTTTCGAGAAGAATATGATGATACTCAAATGCCTAAACATAGTTGTTTTAAAATGATAGGTAATTGTGAACAAGTATTGACTACATTTACAGCAAGGCGTTTATTGATTTATGAAAAATATAGAAAACCAAATGTAAGAACATTTTCCCCATTAAATTCTGTAGAATTACATTAATTTTTTGTTTTTGTTTAGGAAAATGATAAATGTAGTTGTATGATACCTACATCAAGCAATTTTAGAGAGAAGTATTTTACTCATGGTGATGAAAACCGATTAACTAGAAAACAAAAAAAATTAGAAGCAGCCAAGAATAAAGAAATTCGGTTAGCCAAATTAAAAGAAATGGGTGTAAAATAATATTGAGTAAGCAATAATTTTATATCAATTTAAAATAGTTATAGTAATTGTATAGTGTTTGATTAACTATGCTTAACGCAATATATTTAAAAGTATTAAACATATTACAATTTTTCTTCTTAAAAGTTAATGATATCCTGTATTCTGAAACTTTCAACAAAAAATTGTTCCTATTCTCCCTCTCTCCTTTAAAACAGTATCAGCTTAATATTTTTAAATTTCTATATTTTCTGGCTTAATATCACTATTACTTTTTGAAAAAAATTTAATTTATTAAAAATACCTTTGTGTATTTTTTAATTATATTCTGAAAAGTCTGCATATTTTAAAAATATTTTTAATTAAAATGTATGAAGTACATTTGATTTTAAAAAGAATATTGTCTTCTAAGTGTAGTATCAAAGTTAAAGAAAAGGTACCATTTTTGGTAAAAATTGCAAAATTAAAAAAATTAGTTTGATCATTGTATAAAAAAATTTGAGGAGAATCTTTTTATAGTTAGGTGTCTATTTCATTGTTATTGAATAATAGGGATATTTCTAAACCATTCCTTTCTCTTCTTACATTTGATAATAATAAATTTCTTTGTTGTAACGTGACAAAAGTATCTGATTGTTTTTTTTGTCTATTTGTATATATATATTTGTGTTGAGCCGAATGCGGACTGCGACGNATTTATATTTATGTTCCAGTGTTAATAAATTTGTTTAATGATAAAAATTCGAAAATAAAATCATATTGTAAATTTAGTGTTAATCAATAAAGTTAACTAACATATATATAAAAAATAAGATATGATTTAAACAATATTTATACCTAACATAAAAAGTTTATCATATCAATAATAAATAATATGTACTTACTAACAATCTCTAGCAATATAATTAATTTAATAAAATTAACAAATACAAGAATACATTGAGTATGTTACAACATAAAACAAAAAATAAAAATTATCTTTTTAGATGAAGACTTTTTAAATTATTTTTATCCTCTAGTAATCCAATTAATAATTTGAATTTTTTGCGTGTACTGAGCCAATATACATAATTATATTTATAATATAAATGACACATTAAAAATGTATAGTACTTTTTTTTAAATAAACTCAAACAAAAAAACGTCAAAAACACTAAAAATAAATAGTTTTTTACAGATTTAAGTGTGAAAAAATTATCATCCATTTATAATAGCATAATTTTTTTTTAGTATTATGTGAATCAAAAATTACAACTAGGTTTAGTATTATATAATTTATAGATCTGCTGGTGTTAATTAAAAAGAATTTTTTTCAGTTTTTCTTAAAAAATATAGTTCTATACATTAAAATATAAGTTAAAAAGTATTAATTAATAAGCAACCTTGTAGGAACAAAAATCATTATTTGTATACAATTTAAATTATTATATACTAAGTTGATTCTTTTCGTCTAGCTAATTTATATATTAACTTAACTAAATCACTACGTTTATTTTTTAGATCTTCTACATCAATTGGGTCAACATCTCGAATATCTAAATTTGCACATACGTAATGAGCAACATTCTCAGCATTGCATATCAAATGAATTCCACAATCAAAACTATTTTCTTGTTGTCTAGTTGGCAAAGGTGTTATGATATCTATTATATCTTTAAAATAAAATTTTAATTTCAATGCCAATTTTCTAGCTTGCTTTTCATTTGAATCCCATATAGAGTCCATATGGAACAGTCGTTTATCTTGTGTTCCATACACTACTAAAGACCAGTGTGTACCTCCAACTGATTGCAATTGTTCTTGATCGTTTAAAGGAAAAAATATGAATGAATATTTTTTATCCTTCACTAAAGGATCTAAAAACACAGCTATATCATCAACATTACATTCTTTAATACACTGCACAATTTCAGGGCTAACAAAATATACTTTAGGATTATTTTTAAATACATCAGTATTTAAATATTCCATGTAAAATCCTAGTATAGAATCATTTAACCATTGATCATCTAAAAGTAAACGGACATCAGATTCATGCAAAAGAAAATTTTCATAGCTCAAAACTACTGGATCCTTTTCTTTAGATGATGAGCGACGTTTATTCATTATGATTGACAAAATAATACTTTACGAAGTAGACAAAATATCTTAATTGTTAATTATGTCAGCTATTATCAAAAACTGATCTTTATTAAAGAAATAGTTATGATATCGATCTGTTGTGATAATAATTATGATAAAGCTTACAAAAATAAGTTACGCAGTGTTACATATTATTGAAATAAATTAATGTAAAAAGAATTTTATAAATGACTACTCTGTACAAATGTTCATAAAGATTATCATGTAATCAATATCGACTACTAAGTATTTGATAACGATGGATTTAACATTGCTGCATAATCTTCCTTCGAGGTTATTTGAAGTTCATTTTGGGAGTCTGCTACAACTTTGACTTATACTTTTTAATCATCCAAATTAACTTTTGTTTAGTCTTAAGAATAAAATATGTCAGCAACAAACGTAATTATTAATAACGCCCGACTTATAAGAAATTTAAATAGGAATACTGTAAGAACAGTGTCTACTAGATGTCCATGGAAAGTTTTTCAAGCATACAGGTAATTTTTGTTTTACATGGCCGCTATATTTTTAGTGACTGTTTATGTTCGTTAGATGCCAAAACAATATTCCTCAGCATTTCGGAAAATGCATATCAGTTAAAAATGTAGGTTATAGATTCTACGCATCAGATGTTCCTAGTCATACCAAAGTAACACTTCCAGCACTTTCTCCAACTATGGAAACTGGTACAATTATTGAATGGTCTAAAAAAGAAGGTAAAGTTTCAGTTTTTAATTAAAACAAGTAATAATAAAAATAAACATTTGATTGTGTGCATTGTATAGGCGATCAATTGAATGAAGGAGACAAACTTGCTGAAATACAAACTGATAAAACAGTTATGGACTTTGAGACCCCTGAAGCTGGATATTTAGCTAAAATTATGATCACTGCTGGTCAAAAAGACACCCCTGTTGGAAAGGTATATTAGACATTATACAAAAAATGATTTTACATTTTTTAAAAATATTTTTAATCTATAATTTTACGAAATTCATAAACTTCTGACCAATTTATACACTGACTCTTAAGTTCAGTTTTCATTTTGGTTTATCATAAAAAAAGAAAAATTATAATTTTTTTTATTTTTAATTAATATCATTAAACTAAATTAATTAATTATATGAAGTAAAACCTTAAGTCTAAATAAGTTTGGAAATTATAGTCTGACAAATGCTATACATTTAAAATAGATAAGTAATTTAATGAGTATACATAATAAAATAAATTAATCATTTTTTAAATGATGATAAGTTTTATTATTAGAGCATACTAGTTTACAATTTAAAAAATAAGAAACTAAGCAAAAAAGTTTATATAGTGTGATCAAAATCTGGATGTTAAGTAAAAATTCATCATTGATTTAGTTTTATAACACCAGTAGCTGTGCAACCACTATTGAAATAGATTATTGCTGCAATTAGTATTATGAGACCAAAACAATGATAATTTTTACTTGACATCCAAATTTTTAGATAATGTGTAAAACACACAGTTGATCAGATAAAAAAATTATAAAAACATACTTGTTTGTAAAATTTTTTTCTATCATATTGTAAAGTTAAAAATAGGGATGGATTCCCATCTAAGAAAATTATAAATAAAGATTTTTATTTCTGAAGGGACAAAAACAACAAAAATGATTATATATTATTCATTAAAGATTACATATTATTGTAGTTTTTTGAATCTAATCATTTGTTACAAAAATTTGAAATTCTAAAGTTTAAAAATGAATGTCTTACCAGATTTTGATCACTTTGTATATTTTTTATAACTTTCTTCATTAATTTCTATAGTTAAAGATTTATGTTAAGTATTATTTTAAATAATTTTTTTTCTTTAGAAAAAATTTCTAAGTTTAAATATATTAATTTATTTTTACAAAATAATTTTATTTCCAGCTTGTATGCATTATTGTTGAAAATGAAGCTGATGTAGCAGCTTTTAAAGATTATGTTGATGATTCACCAGATACTCCAGCTCCAATAGCTTCTACTCCTAAACCATTATCTCCTAAACCATTATCTCCTACACCACCGATTTCTAAACCAATATCTACTCCTACCCCTGTGAAGTCAACTTCAATAACAGTAGGATCTCGAATACTTGCTAGCCCATTAGCCAAAAAATTGGCAGTTGAAAAAGGATTAGATTTAACTGTAAGACAAGTGATTAATATAGTTTTATTATTACAGTTAATATTATTTAAATATTATTTTCAGTCAGTCTCTCATGGTTCAGGATTATTTGGTTCAATTAAAAGTACGGATTTAGCTAATGCATCAACAGCAGGAATTAAACAGACAGTAGCTGATGGTGTGCAAGGAGATGGTTTTGTTGATCGACCAGTAACAAATGTGAGAAAAGTTATTGCTCAACGTTTGTTAGAATCTAAACAGGTAAATATTTAATATAAAATCCTTTTTATTTTAGTTACTTCTATTTTTTATTTGCAGAACATACCACATTATTATCTTACGGTTGATTTGGGATTAGATAATATAGTATCATTAAGAAAAAGAATGAATGAACTTTTAGAAAAAGAAGGTGTCAAATTATCTATAAATGATTTCATTATTAAAGCAGCAGCATTAGCTTGCAAAAAGGTTCCTGATGCTAACTCATCTTGGATGGATAGTTATATTAGACAGTAAGTATTTAGAAAAATAATATCTATTAACTTATAATACTTAGTATATATTTTCAGATATGATGCTGTAGATGTAAGTGTAGCAGTTAGTACTGATACTGGCCTCATAACACCAATTGTTTTTAATGCTGATACTAAAGGTCTAGTAGCTATTAGCAAAGATGTAAAGGAACTTGCAGCTAAAGCAAGAGAAGGCAAACTGACACCTCAAGAATATCAAGTACATTGATAATAAATATCAAATTATAAATTTCTTATAATAAATAATTAAAACATTTAATTTTTAGGGAGGTACATTCAGTGTATCTAATCTAGGAATGTTTGGAGTTAAAAGTGTTTCATCTATTATAAATCCACCTCAATCATGTATACTTGGAATTGGTGCTTTAACCCAACGATTAATACCAGACAAAACAAATGGTACACGAATACAAGAAACTCTACAAGTTACATTAAGTTGTGATCATAGGGTTGTAGATGGTGCAGTTGGTGCACAGTGGTTACAAGCATTTAGAAGATATATAGAAGACCCTCACTGTATGCTGTTATAGAAAATGACTTATTAAACTTGCTTGAAATATATAATTTCCCGCCATTTTTGCTCTGTTCGGATTTTTTTTATGTTATTTGTTTTATATATATTGTTAATGTATTCTGTTGTTTTAAGCACGTTATAGCTGTTGAAGTGCAATAAGAACGATTATATAAACTGAGATTAATTCTAATTTAACTCTAGTAACTTTATTTATTAAGAAATAAATATAGAAATGGTTGAAAAGCAAACAAAACTTTAAATCAATCAATAAACTATAATTGGATGAAATAATTTTATAAAACAGGACCAATTGGTGTTAGCTGCCAAATTGTTTGACCTGTAAAAATAAAATAACATAAAATTGACTTATTCTTTAATATTAGTTAACTTAAACTATATATTTCAGTTATAAGAAACCAGTTTGAGATGAATTCTACTACACTAATTTCATAAATTAAATACTATAAGCTTAATAAATTGAATGTATTAGACATTAAAATTTAACAAAATTTATAATGACAGAATTATTATTTTATAATTAAAAGCTACAGAGTTAAAACTGATCGTTAATTTTGTTATTCATTTAAAATTTTAAAATGTATAATTTATACAAAAGATAGTATTTAAAATAAAAAATAGTCTTAAAATTAAAGGGATATCTGATATTTTTATAATTGCTATTAATTTACCTTCTGCTAAAGACCACATCAATTTATGTTTCTCTTCATTCTTATGTAGCAGTTCATTGACTGTATAAATATGGTCACTTAATTTAGAACTCAGTTTAGGTGACCTTGTATAGAGAAGAGTCAAGTATATCAGTTTCTGCTGTTGTTTTGTACTTAATAACTTAGTTTGTATCTTCAAAAGCCTGTAGAACATGTTAGAGTATATTAAAACATATCCTATATATGAAAACTGATGTTTTCTTTATTGAATCAAAAACTTAAGAATTTTTGACTTAATATACATGTATAATACATGAGGGATTACAAATACAGTTAACTAATTGATTTTTTATGATGTCGCTATCACAGATAAGGAGAGTTCATTGTCAATTATGACTTAATCAATAAATATGCTTAGAGTATGGTAGTAATTCACATTGTTGTGAGTTTATAAATACACTAACTGGGATACAAAAAGCCTATCTATTAATAGTTATAATTAACAATAAATAAGAGTCAGTAATAGAGACATCATAATAAATCAATTAACTACCTTTATTTGTAATCCCTCGTGTATTATACATGTATATTAACTCAAAAATTTAATGTTTTGTGTCTAATAAACAAATAAAGTTATATGAATAATTCAATTACCATTATCTATAAAATAAAAACCCAAACACTTTATTAAATTCAATATATGCTTTCCCATTTGATAAAACAAAGTTGACGCCCTTACAATGTATAAAGGACAAACTTAAAAAGTATTATATATATAAAAGCTAATAATTCAAGAATAATATGTAACTAATGGTATACAAAAAAAAAATGTTTAAATTATTTTTATTCTGTGAGTAATTTAGTGGATTATGATAAAAAAATTACCCTATATATACTTACCACCTTAAAAAAACACTTGTATATTTATGAGGCATCTTTAATGCTATTTTAAGCACAATACTAGTATCAATGTTTTTCATTATACCCAGGCAAGTATCAAATTCATTATGATTGGTTTCAATTTTTTTATTATTTTTATGAATAACAATACACAGTTCTACTATCCACAAAGCAGCAATATAACTTTCTTGAATAACCAAACATTGTAATAAATTTGAAATTAGACCTAGGGTACTTATAATTTTTAATAAAATGCTCCATGATGATTTATCTACTTTTGAAATTCTTCCTAAAAATTATGAAAAAATATAAGTTAAATCTACTTTTATAAATATTCCAAAAAAAAATATACCTTTAGTGGTTTTATCTTCCTGGGCTTGAAGTAAATAATGGGTACAAAATACATTAATTAACTGTGATGCCAAAGCATTATCACTTAATAATTCTTTAATTTTTTTTGTACACTCTTTATTGGGTTTTGAAATTTTTGAACACTCAAATGAGGTTATTCTTTGCCTGAATGGTACACAAAAATATTATCATACAATTTTTTAAGTTATTTTAATCCAAAAATACTACTAGTGGATTATTAAAAATTTCTATGCTATTAAAATTTAATGATATAGTTATTGTAAATAGTGTTATGTAAATTATACAGAAAAATTTCAACTTACATAATTAACAATTTATAAAAAATTATATATAAAAGTAGACTTATAAGTAAGAATATTTGTATTGTTATTATTTCCCCAAATTACTACAGATGGAATATATTCTTAGTTAAACAAAAATAAAAATGTATGTGTATTTAATACATACCTTACAGTATTAATGTTTAGATATTTAGATGAATTTTTTAAGTTTCTATTTAAAATATAGCTATCAATAATATTTGTGAATTCATCAACAATATCTACGTTTAATTTAGTAGTTTTAATTTGAAAATTTTCATCAACACTCCAATATTTTATCTGAAATTTAAAATATATTTTGATATTTTGTTAGTGTGATAAATAAGCTATTATGAAAAAATTACTTGAAGCCATTCTAATGCAAACTTAACTGCTGCTCTTAAATCTTTGAGTGTAGGTAAATCTTGGTCATGAGAAATCTTATGTCTCAAATCAATTAACCAAGTAGGAAGTTCTATACTTGATGCTCTAGCATATAGTGATTTTTGAGCACCTTTACCCAAAATATCTGCTGTTAGATTGACAAACCTTAAATTATTAGTATATAGTAAACAAGTATTGTAATACTATAAATTAATTCTCTTTGACTGTTTTCAAATTATTAAATATTACCTCATTACAGACATTGAATACAAACGAACTAAATCACTTTCATTTATCAATTTGCTATTTTTACAAAAGTAAGGATCTTTTATTACAACTTGAAGTAAAATCTCAGTACATTGTAAACCTCGAGGTAATGATTCTACTCTGTAATAAGTTTATAGTTTATTAAAACAAGATATTAATTGATGAAAATTAAAATGCTTTAATAAAATAAAAACCTAAGTATACTTTACTTTATATAGCCAAAAAAATAAAACTTCGGAAACTATTAATAATTTATTTATTTTTTTATTATTATTATAAAAAACCTTTTATAATAGTTCTTTTACACTTTTTAAAATGTAAAAAATGGTATACAAAAAAAAATGTTTAAATTATTTTTATTCTGTGAGTAGTAATTGAGTGGATTATGATAAATTAAAATTGAAACTTTAAAATTTTATATCTAAAAAACAGATTAAGTTATATCTGAAAAACTAAATTTTTTATTTATAATATTAAAAAAAAAATTCACGACTTTTAATTAATAATAAAAAAAACGAATAACAAAAGTAATAAATAGAAAATTTTCTTTTTTATCAATTTTAAATGAATATTAATTTAATAGAATAAATAAATCTCAAATAAAAGTCAACCTTAGATGATCCATTTAAAGAAGAACACTGATTAATTTATAAAATGTTTAAACTTCTTCTATTTCTATTGTAAAAATATTTTAATCACTCCTATTGATGGATTAAATATCACCAATAATTAGCACTTAAGCCATTGGTTCTTTAGTATCTTAATTGAAGTTTAAAAACTACTTGTAATAAAATAGTGTAACCAAAGTAGATCAAGGATTTTTTTCTTTGTCTTTTAGATTAATACCACATTTTTATAAAAAAAATTGATGTAACTACAAACTTTATAATTCTATAAATAAAAATTAAAACTTTAAATGTTTACCTAGTTTTCCAAATTAAAATTTTTCTAAGAGCGCTTTTGTAACTTGTTTCATTCTTATTTTCAAATATATCATTTTTAACTATCTGCCATTCCGAACTAAATATTTAAGTTGAATATTAGTATAACATTATATTTAAGAGATACACTTTAAAATTAAATAACTATAATTTCTGAATAATCATATTAAATTTATAAATTTTAAATAATAGAATATTAAAATGGTATACTTGACCAATATATAATTAATATGAATAACTTGATTTGAAAAATAAAAATAGTATTGATAATTTTTTTTATTAATTTCTTTTAGTTCAATATTTCTCTCAATTTATTTATCATAAAGCATTTTTTATATTCTTCTTTTATACCATATAAGATTGTTTTAACTGTTATAATAAATTATACAGTTTTCAGTAAGTAAAGAAACAGGTCAATTGTTACAAACAATAAGAATATAAACCCGTTTTTTTACTTACTGAACACTCTATATATTACACACATTATTAACTGGCTTATTAAATTATGATAATCACTGGTCAATAACAAATTTTGAACTACTATTTCAGAAATAAACAATTTAATATAATGAAAGGAAGTAGAGAGTAAGTTCTATTATTTTTATAACTAGACATTTCTTATCCATATTTTTCTTCCCACCTAGGTATAAACATGTCAATAATACCGAAATACTTATTCAAGAGTTTTTATCAGCCAATCATTATCATAATTAGATGATTATATATTAAATGAGCTAGTTAATTATGTATGTTACTCTTTGAGAAATTAAAGTTGGCAACATTATAAGGTATAAAGGCTAAAAACAAAAATTATTCATGTCTGATATATTAAGAAAAACATTAAACATTCAAAATTATCAATATTATTTTTCAACTAATTAAGTGATTTATAGTAAGTAAATCACCCTATAGAATAATGAGATATAAATTTATGTGTACTCTTTTTTAATAATCATCTAAATAATTAATGTTAGTTTCTAATTTTAGTTAATATTGTTCCTATGCTCCTTAGTATATACACCTAATATATTCCATTAAGATGTTACTATTCTATATACTTTACTTTATAAGCAAAAAAAAAATAACACGGTTAGATAAAATTAAAACTATTGATATCAAGAAAATTTTTAGAAGAAATTTTATTTTTAAATACCTATTAGTTAGTTATACCTTTGAAATTTACAAATATATAAAGTATTTTAATACATTTTTAACTTAAAGCAATATTGCTCTACCTTTGGTAAAATCTATAATTTAAAATTCAAGTGGTTTTAAAAAGTTTTATTTTAAAATAAAAGATTAATAAGTTAGGAGAAATTACCCAATACTAAAATTATTTAAATTTAAAGTGTAATTATTTCAAAATGTATTATTTTTTAAATTAAACCTTTAATCAAATAGTTAAAATTTGTATAATGATATCAAAACATAATTTTGGTTTGCTGTTGTTTTACCAGAGGGATAATGATATAACAATGAATTATTCGCCAAAATTTATAAATTGATATATCTAACTTGATGAACAAATAAAGAATTAGTGTATAACAATTTAAAATACTTTATTTTAGAACATTTATTTAATTTATAAGAATTTAACAATTTTATTTTATTTTCAATACGTACTCTGATGACCACGGCGTTATAACCAATTTTTCAATCATTATATAAATGCAACAAATTAATAATTTACAGTTATTTTGAATATTTAGTAATTTATTATTAACTATGTATAAATCAGTAACATGCCATAATTCTTTGTGTTACATATTTTGAATTAGGATATACATTATGTGTTCTTATTATAATGCACGTGTTTATATTTGTTACTGATAAAAAATGACTGTTAAGTTGATAACGTAAGATTTGAACAATTCCACTATACAAATAAGAGATAACATAGACTCACATAGAGTAACCTATAATTAATTATAATTCTTAATACTTTAAGAAATGATAATTTGTGAAGTTTTTACTGTTTATTACTATTAAAAAAAGTTTTAAAAAAGTAAAAAAAGTTTTACTAAATCACTGACGCATATTGTTAAAAATAATTTAGTTAATATTTAAAGGTCTTGAGGATTTGGACATCCTTTCGGCTTTTTGCCAGTTTTTATTATGTTAAAATTTTTTTTTATACTTAATTGGATGTTTTTATAAGAATAAAATTCTCATTTTGATACCATGTTTGTTTTTTAATTAGTTTACAAACTTTTGTAAAATTATTATTATTTTTGCAAAAACTTATTTCCATGGCCGAACCGCGTATATTGAATTTTCAAAATTATTTTAAAAGTTTTCACTATTTTTGTGTAGCTAACAATATAAAGAAGCTAAAAATACTACATTATATCAATAAAAAATAGGATATTTATTTTAAAAAGTGTCATATTGTAAATGTATATTTTTCAACAAAAATTAAAATCTCAAATTATCGAGATACGCGATTTTGCAAGAGTCTACAATATGATGTAATATTAACTTTTTACACAAAAATGTACGAAGAAAAAAATATAACCGTTCACTTATAATATTGTGAGTGAATTGTAATTGGGATTATTGTAATCTAGTGTGACATACAATAGTACCCTATTGGATTTTATTTTTTCAAATTTAAAAAATCCAAATAATAATTTCAATAATAGAAACCAGTAGTGATTTGTGGGTGCTGGTGGTGGGGATGCGACTTTAAATATAATACTGCTAGTCATAGGTATAAAATATTGTCAAATTAATTATAATAAAATAAAACACAATAAACATATTATTATTGTAAAGGTCGCAATAGAAAATAGAAATGAAAATAATGATAATAGCGATTATAGCAACCGATAACGACATGCAGTTAATTTTAAAATAAATTACCAATATAGTAATATACTAATATTTTATTAACCCGTTTATAAGATCACAGCTGAACCGTACCCGCACACACACAATTGCAGCTAGTCATTAATAATATAAGTTATAGAATATTGCTGGGACGACGCTGTAGATTGTCCAGACACTACTCGTGTGTGTATCCGCAATACTGAGGGAAACAACTAAAATGTTCGCACACAATTATAACTATTTTACTATTTAAAAATTTGCATTTTTAATAAAAAATATTTTTTTTTAAATGTAGAGTTAAGAATATACAATTAATTTTCTTCTTTTAATTAATTTTTGTAGGGGGTGCGATCGTCCAAACCACGAGCCGCCACTGATAGAAACTGCAGTTTATAAAAGAAAATATTTAAAGCAACAAGTTCAAAAATTTAATTAAACTAAACTATTATACTTCAAAGAATGGTACTACTATGAAAATTTTATGTTAGACATAACATAAACGAAATAAAAATTCTAGTATCAAAACTTTCAAAAGATTATTATAAAATTTAATTTTTTCCCCAATTTTATTCATATTATACTATATATAATATAATTAATAACAATTATAATATTAATAATAATTTTGGAATTAGGGACCAAAAAAGTATTCTTTTTTTACTATTTCTTTTAACTTTCTACGCTATTATAGCTATTACAATAGCATAGAATGAACTACTATCAGTGAGTATGCTTCTTAGTAAAAACACATAATGGTCATAGTATTTTTTTTTTAAATAACCTTGTTAAAGTGAGAAAAATTAAATTTAAATTTTAAACCAGGCACATAACTATTCTGTTTTGTTAGATAAGTTGTGTGCAAATTATCTAATATAGATAAATAAATCTTTGAAATCAAAGATTTATTTTATAAATATAAAATATTAATTATTAATTATTAAATAAAATTTCCTTACACTATAAATATAAATTATATTAATGATTCAATATTCAACATAGTGTTTAAAATTGATGTATGTTATAAAAAGCAATCTCATTTTATACCATTTATAATTAAACATAAATGTTTTTTTTTTTGATAATAGGTATTTAAAAAAACCAAATAATAAATTGATTTTTTTTAGCTATAAACAAAGAAAACATTGTGGACAAGTTTAATTTATTTTATACACTTTTAAGTTAACAAGATAATATTAAAATCTACTCCCTAGATTTAAGAGTGCCCTAGAACTAGATTTATTTAAAAAACACATAATTTAAAGTTCATAGGTTACCATGAAACACATGTGTTATGTGAATTTTATTATATATTTAAAGCTGTTACCATTACTAAAAATCCTTATATTATATGTAAAAAAAATTATCATAGGTATTTTGTTTGATATTAATTTAACCATACAGCATATTTCAATAAAATTTATTTTATTTTTATATAAGCTGCTAAGTCTAAAATTACTTACAAATTCAATATATTACTATACCTAAAATATAATTAAATTACTTACTTTTGATTTAAGCATAAAACAAATTATTAACAGAAAAGTGACTAGAGAAGCAGAAATCTTGTCAATTCTCTTGTTAAGAAAATGGACAAATCTCAAAAGGAGCATTTATAGAAATGGTATATTGTCAACAATTTGTGGGAATAAATCATAACTAAATTAAACACACAATTAAAAACGCGCGTATTAGAAATGTTGGTCAGTGGTTAGCGGCACGACTAGTTATTCCGTCATAAGTTCACCAAATGAATTCGCGCTAGTATCAATGAAGGCATCATAAATCATTGTTATACCTAAAGTGTTATTATTTTATTAATTTATTAATTAAAGGTTAGATTATTATATAAAATTAGACTGTATCTCAAAACTGTTATAACCATTAAAATGATTCTATTGAACTTAAAATAAAATCTAGTAGTAGGTACAACTTGATCGTATGAACATTACATAAACTGAGATCCAGGTTACCAAATGTACATATGAACATTTATAGAACTGTACAGTTTTATTTTGAACTTTGATCTGTCCCAGTACTTATAAATATTACTAGGTTACTCATTGAACTGGTGGGTCGCTTAAACCGACCGTGAACCAATATAATACAAATTAGGTGCAATCCGGATTGACTACTTTAGTACTCATATGACTTAATTTTTTTTTTGTTTTTAACCGTCTTCAAATAAGGGCGAAGGTGGTTATGAATTTGGTTGTATTTTTTATGTTTGTTATCTCAGAATTTATAAACCATTTAAAACCCGATTTCGAAAATTATTTTTTATTTCGAATGAGATGCTTTTAAATTAGTCCCCGAGAAATTTTATCAAAATCGGTTTAGTAATTTTTAAATCAAAATAACTGAAAAAATATGTCATCAAGTAAACAAAATTGCGTATTAAATTGCTTTCTTGTGACCAATGGTATTTACGGTCACTAAAATAGACCCAAATGAACTATAAATCTTCGCTTCGTTATCAAGTAATACTTAATAATTAAAAATATGCACTAAAAAATAAAAATAAGAAAATTGTACAAAGAAGGAATATCGACCTATAAATCTGCTATGAAAAAATTCACTAAAAAAAAAAAAATAAATCAAACTAAAATTAGAATAAAATCAATTTATAAGAATATTAATATAAATTGTTGATAATGTTGGAGTAGGTAATAGCCAAGGTAAACAAACGTGTTCCATAATCAACAAGACAGCAAATGTTTGATGTTGAACAGCACGGCGCACAGTGATGGACATGTACTGAGATGAAGGAACGGTATACAGTAGAGTGGCGACCCTAACGCTCGTAAACGTGGGGGGCAGACGTTGTTGACTGTTGGTATCAAATTGTTTGAATTTATTTACAAATAAATTAGTGGTGATAAAATGTTTTTTTATTTTAGTAGCATCTTCTTACGCTATGTTGTTGCGACGTAAAATAAAAAACAGCAGCTACTGATATTTTTTAAAGAAATTATGAAACTATTACTTTCTATAACTATTAGCTTCGATGCGTAGCTAAAAAGCTGTTTCTTATACTCTGTTATTATTAATTTTTTTGTGTGTCCGTGTACGCAATTACTCTGCTCCTACTGAGCCATTTTTCTCAATTATACGACAAAAGATCACAAAATGTGTTTATTTGAATGAAACATGAATCTAAAAAAACTTCAGTTATATAAAATGCTTTTCTAAATTTTAACATATGTTCTTAGAAAATCTTAACTTATCTCGTGACCCTCAGATGTCAATCGCAAAAAAATCAATTGAACATCTTATAAGTTTTAATGATCCTTGCAAATCATAGATATAACCACCCCCTCCCTTTAAAAAACAAATAAAATATTATGTTGATTGTTACATAAAAAAATTACAGGTGGTGTGGGTTCAACCAACCATGTTTTTATACCACCCTCTTTCCCATAAATTATCTACGTCTCGTGTATACACCTTTGATTTGGAGAAGCTACTTAAAATCGGTCATGCACTCTAATGAATATTTTTACAAAATATGAAACTTAATAAATTTATAAAAATTGTGTTAAATTATACTAAAATATTTTTAAATAGCTTTAGGCTATTGTATTAATATTATAAGAGTTATTGATTTATCATTGTCCGCTAAATTTATCCTAAAATAGTAATACTCTTAAAAATGTTTTTTTTTAGTAGTAGATATTTTATTTATTTATTTTTTACTTTTTTAAATACTGTTTAGGTTCACCCTTATCCCTTTCTTAACTTTATTTTTTTTAATGGCAACATATGTATTGAACTACCTTATAAAATAGAAAATAATATAACTAAGGAAATAACTGGTCGATAACAACTTTTAGACTAATACTTCTAAAATTAACAAGTCTTTATACAAGATGATCAAAATCTGGTAAGACACTTATTTTCTCAAAAATAATTGAAAAATATCTCTATAATAAAATTTAAAATTCTCAATATTTTCTGAGAAAATGAGTGTCTTACCAGATTTCAATCACTCTGTAGATGACAGGTG